GACCCGCAGCTCTGCCGCACCAAGCTGTCCCTGGAGCCCGCCTCCGAGGCCCCGACGCGGTTGGTTCGGGGACGGGACGGGGGGACGGGGGGACGGGGGAGGCCGAGAAACCGCCCAGCGGGCGGAGATGGAGTTTTTGTTTTTTGTGTGTGTCTGTGTGTGTGTGTGTTTTTTGTGTTTCAATATTTTGTCATAAGAACAAGCACACGTTGGTTTCAAAGGCAATCTAGTCACTGTGGGATCACTCGGGTTTATCCAACTGTGATACTTTTGGGAATCTGTCCAATACAAAAGGGTCTTTGGGAAGCCCTTCCTGTTGTATCACAGCCAAGGGGATGTTGGTTGAATGGTGAAAAGGCAGCTGTTGGGAGGTACTGAACCCAAAGGTTATTCTTGTTTAGTTTGAAGCCGCAAGAGTGTTGCTCGGGAAGGCAAGCGTAACCCTTGCCCAGTTCCAGTTACCCCCAGGGGAACCAAGGGGAAATGAGGCAAACATCCCGGAAACAGGTAGATCTGCTGGGGGATACCCCCAACTCAAATTCCTGGTCAAGGAAAAACGGAAACCAGGTGTTTCGACTGTTTAAAGGGAAGCCAACAGAAACACCAAACTCCTGTTTGGGGATCCAAATCTGAATTTTGACATGCCCGGAGAACAACGTCGACACGACGCAACTCTTGGCCCGGTTTTGCTTTCGAAAGGATCTGTCAGGTTCTGCATTGCCAGGGTGTGCAAGCTCAAAAAATCAACTCCAAAGCCTGAAATAAGAGATTCCTGGGTCAAGTAAAGGACCTTCATGGTGAGGTCGCTTTACCCGCAAGTGAGCTCGCCACGAATTGAGGGAGTCTGGAGGGTATGATGGCAACGCAGCACACCTCCATACCTCCGAAACCCATCCCTGGAACAGCAGTTTCACACAAGAGGGCGCTCCCAGTCGATTTTCCATCTCCACGGAGTCTTGCGTTGGCAAAAACACCGCGGCCCGGCAGTATTTTGGTCCCAACTTGCCTGTTATTTCAACCATTTGCAGAATCCCATTGGTACAGCAACCAAACGGCAGTTGGGCGGCGCTGATGGGTACCAAAGTTTTCACTTTGGGCCGTGAGTTTCGGTTAAGAGAAGAATCATTTTGTGAGACGGCGACACCCAAATTTGGACGGCTCCCCTCATCGTTTTGACGGCGACCGGGCGGCGACGCGGCAGAGGTGCAGTCGGAAGTCTGGGAGCCAGCCCTGCTGAATCTCCGATCCTCGGCGTCCGAAACCCACGGGGGGGCCGGGGGGTTTGGTCAAAGTTACCGTGATTGACGTACTCCAGTTAAAAGGCCGGCACGTACCAAGGCGGCACCAAAACGTCGAGCAAGAAACGGCCTTTTTTGTTTGAATGGGATGTCTTGAGTGCAGGATTGTTGTTCTGCGAACCTTCGAAGGGAGATTGCCAACCAAAAAACTATGGGATCCTTGTTCTTTCACATGGAGGGTAGCACAGGATGGATCTCTTCTCCGTCTTCCGTTTGGCCTATTTGTCAAGCTTCTCACTCACTTTCTCTTTTGACAGCTGTCTGAGAATCATGTTCTTTGAGAGAGGCCTTGGTTGTGTTCCAGGTCCCCCATAATTTGTCCTCTTGGGGGCCTTAAACTTTGGCCTCTGCAATGTGTTTGACTACATGAGGCCTCTGCGAAAAGCCATAATACATAATAACATATATATATATATATATATATATACAGAATACATATATATATATATAATATGATGCACACATACATCCCCTTTTGGCGGTTGAAACGATACCCTTCCGTGCCCCCTGCAAGGTGAGCTTTTCTTGGTATAGTGAGGCTGGAAGTTCAGGCGACACCAAGGCCAGGAGTCCATTTAGCGGGACTGACAACCAAAGCTGCTTGAAGGGCTTAGGACTCCAAGAATCAGATCTTCCGTTTGTCCCTTGAGGTGGAAAGGGTTGTATGTTTCGAATTCAAAAAGCCACCCGGCAATCCAAAAGGCCAATTAAGCTCAACCTGATGTAAGGTGCTCAATAAGTGTTAGCCGCGAACGTGATGCTTTTCAATGGTCATGTCTTGGTGTTAAAGGCCCCCAACCGAATTGGGTGTGGTTCCTTTTTTGAGTTGGTACCCATTTGTTGGTGTTTTTCTAGGGAAGAAAAGAAACCGAAGCCCATCCGGGGCTCCCCCCCCCACAAAAAAGACGCGCCAAATTCTATGTTTGTTCGGCCCAATCGCTCGGCGCGTTTCCCGCTTTGACTCGTTTCCCGTTTTGAGGTTCCGAAGCCTACTACAGCGGTCACACCTCGAAGCACTCCCAAGAGAAGTACGTGATCCCCAAGCTTCAGAGCCGCTCGGAGCGCACATGAAATCGACCCAAAAGCCAACGGCTGAGTCATTCTTCGCCAATCTGAGCCCCAAGCCAAAAGTTTTGGGATGGGGAGTGAAGGTTGTTCTTTTTTGTGTTGTTGCCTTCAAACGCCGAAAAACGCTCCGGGGTCATTCCGTTTCTTCCCATTTTTGTTTGATTCGCAAGCAGCACGTGGTGTCCCTTGTGTCCCGGCTGCGGATTGCGGAAATCCGCAGCACGCATTCCGGATTCCCAGCAATTCGAACAGGCACCAGTTGCATGGTTCCAACTTTTATTCAGCCAACAAACATCACCCATTGGTCAATCTCAAAGTGAGTTTCCTTTTGGGTGACGTTGTCTTCCTTTTTGGTGATGGCAGATGGTGCCACAAAAGCGTAGCCCTCGGATGCAGTTTGGTGCAGTTTGGGCCGCTATTTGCGAGTCGCGCGTTTTCCACCCTCGCTCGGATCAGGATGGCTTATGTTTGGGGTAAAGTACCTACTCAGGTACAAAGGTTTATTCCACAAATGGTGCCGCGGTGACTCGTTTGCTTCCCGGCGTAGAGGGCTAGGCGGGCGACGTTCGAATGTCATAGCAAACATGAACCCTTCGGGAGGGGGTATTCAAGTGCGACGATTCGGAAGCACCGAAATTTCCGGACTCTTACCCGAAGCTCTTATGGGAACGCAGGCATGTTTGGCGGTCAACTCATAAACGCTTGGCCCTTAAAGCACTCAACGCAGCCTCATCCCGTGCTGTAACAAACCCCTTTGCCGCTTTTCAGATGCACGCCCATTTGTGAAGAGGCGCGCTTTCCACCATCCCAGAACACCGTCTATCAGTTTGTTTGCCTTTCCTCACAGAAAACGCAACATCCAAACCGCACCTGTAAAACATGAAGCCAACCCAGCATGTTTTATCATCCCGGAACTGTTTTGAATGGAACCCCAAAAAGGAGGGACCGAAAAGGCGGTGATTCGTAGGAAAGGATCCAACCTTGATAAACCAACTGGAAAATGCCTGGTTACTGGGATCCACTCGGCAGGGTTTGTTTGGGTTCCACGAGGCCAGTTTGCGGACAACCAGATCCTCCTGAAGTACACGAACTTCCTTGCAGACACCGCGAAAGAGACCGGGGAAAACTTCTTCGACCTCAATGAGACTCGGAGATATTGCTTTCATCCAGTGCCTTCGGTCTACGACATCCATGAAGCACCCTACGTGCATGTCCTGTTTGAAGGAACATGATGTCGATTGGGGGGGGGCCTATCGTTTCGAGCTGGAGATCCTTTGATCAAGAGGGACCCTCCAAGGCGGTCACCCCATGTCAGCCCAAAAAAGAGACACGCATGTATGCAGTAAGATCCAAGAAAGGAGCAACTTGGTGCATGGTGTGAACTAAAAAGCAAAAACAAAGTTTGTCAACAACAATATATACGTGTATATATATATATATGAAACAATATATATATATATATGTATGTATATACATAGTTTTTTGGGGACCCTGGCGGCTCGTAGAGGGAAAGGACCTCAATCTGACAGCTCAAAAGAACCCGACCACGGGGATCAGATGTTTCTATATCACCAATAGAAGTTTGTGAGGTAATGGCAATATATATATATATATATGTATATGTTTATATATAGATATATATATATATGTATTTATATATATATATATACATGTATATACATATATATATATATATATATGTGTGTCCCGTGAGTGGTATAAATGTAACCTCCATATCCAATAAGGACTCGGAGCCTGGGTCAGCGATTTTGGGAATGCGAGCAGCTTCCTTGCCACACATGAAATGGCCATGGGCCATTTGGAGCAACCGCAGCTTTGGGTATTTTGTGTACACATGGATTTGGGCGTGTCAAAATGCGGGGGGGGGGGGGGGGGCGCAGTTTCCGGTGCCGCACAAACCCGTTTGCGCCTGATCCGAACTCATCCCAGGAGCAGGTTGAGCATCTGGATGCCACGCTGGAATAAGGTTTATAAGTTTTCTTCGCATAACCTCCACGCCTCCCAAACGACCTGAAAATCCTTTGAGAGCCACGGTGCGGGCAAAGAAGTTACAGCTAGGTTCTGACCTCGACCTCAAAGAAGAAGACCCTGACCCAGAGAGAAAACAAACAACAACCTGCTGCTAGGTCCCCCAGCAATTGGTGCCAACATTTAACCCCTTTTTTGGTTGGGAGGGTTCGGGACCTACTAAAATAAGAAAGGTTACCCTTATTCTAAGCTCTCTACGAAGGGCTCCATTGGCAAAAGGCCTCCGAACGAGCGAACGAGTCGCCTAGCGGCACGAATCGACGTGCGTGCCGAGGACATCGCCGGGCCGCCGTTCCCGTCCTTCAACAAGGAGTTGTTGAAGACCACCTGCAATGCCTACACCAACCTGCGGCTCGCTTCCCTGATTCGGACCGTTCCTTCGCGGATCGTCTCTTGATTCCAGGTTGCACCCCCTCCCGCCTAAAAAGAAAGGGACGGTGGTTCCTTTTTCTCAGGTTGGACCCCCCCAAAATCACTTGGGCCTTTCCACGTCTCGCCTCAAAAAACCACCCTCAAAAGGGTAGGCGTTATTTTTTTCGGAGGGGAACGCCCAGGTCTAGTCCATACAGGACCTTCCCTTGGGGGTTCCTATCGCAAGTGCACCGCTTGCTTGAAAAGTGGTCCAGGGTTGCTTCTTGAACTCAAATCCCCTTCCGGCACCCCCGCCACTTGCAACTGCTACTTCAAAAATGTCCAACATCACAGTTGTACGGCACCCAAAAAGCAGTGGTTGGCACCCGGGTGCTGGTTCTCATTATGTTTTTTACCAACGATTTACAGGGGCCCCATCATGCCCCATCTATGTCAAGCTTTGCACACATTTTCCCGATCTCCCTTCCGGTTGCCCCCGTGTCATTTGAAAAAGCGAGGTCCCGAGTGTCTTTGCTCACTAAGGAGAACCCTCAAAGCAAAGTGCCATTGCCAAGCAGAAAGAACATGTGTGTGTGTTGTTTCGGGGTACTCTTCTCTTTCTACGGTTGGAACAAGAAACAAAACCTGGGGGTCTCCATTTTCGCACACACCCAAATCTTTTGTTTGAGACTTTCCCATGACCCCCACCTTAACGGACAGAAGCAGAGAAGAAAAAACCACTTGACCTCGTTTTTGAATCAATCAATCATGCTTTCTTTGGCGCCCCTTGGCCTAAACAAGCCAATCCAGGCTCGAAGCGGCCTGAAATTCCCCACCCAGATGGTTGAGGTCACCTCTCTTGGAGGTTTTGCAACGGGAAGTTGTGGGTCCATTTCCTATTTAAGACACACCCATCAATGAACCAGAATTGTCCCTTAAAGCCTAAACAGGAGCGTTTCTAACTCCAAGCAAGCCACACCTCACGAAGGACAGGATCATCGCACCCCGTGTGGGTTTGTCTCAAAATTGGGGGACCACCCCCCACCCACACCCCCAAATGGTACGTGTTTGTTCTTTTACAATCCCGGCTTTTCTTCCCTGGGTGGGACAATTTGTGGCTTTTTTATGGCCAATCCAGTGAGGGCAGCCAGAAGTTGGGTTCCAAAGTTATAGGGCCCAATAGCACAAAATTGCGACGGGTGGGCTTTCCTGCTGAACCGGATTCCTGAAGGGAAAGGAAGAAAACACACACACGATTGACATACAGAACCAATCACGCCCGCTCATCAGCATCCATATCCACTTTTCTTTTCTTTTTTTTGCGGCGCACTCGTCAGACCCATCAGATCCACCTCTATTGTTTTTGGTGGGCCTGTCCACTCCTCAGATCCCTTAAAGAAAAATTGTCGTCTTTTTTCGCGGTTCGGTTTCGCCGGGCCTTGAGGCTGGTCATCGATGCCACCGTGCTGCAGGTGGCCTTCTCGAACCCTGAGATCATCGCCTCGGCCAAGGCGCCGACTCGCCCGCCGAAGTCGAAGAGACCGAGTCGGAGGTCGGAGTACACGGAAAAGACCCAGGCCCCCCATATTTCCCCCCGCCCCCTCCCAAAAAGAAAGAAAAGAATAGAAATTCGAATAAAAAAGAAAAAACCTCAAGTTGCAGATCCAGGAAACAGTCCAACCGTGGACTCGGTATGGCGCGTTTGGAGCAAACTCAATATTCGGCAGAACACGCATGGCCACCTCACGTGCCCTGGGGCCATGGGGGCCATGTCGCTCAGCCCAGCTTAAGAGAAAGAATTGTTGACCTTGCCAAAAAGCGGCATGTGAACATGAAGGGTGAAAACATAAAGGATATCTTAACATACAGGGCAGACCATGGCATGTGAACATGAAGGGTATCTGAAAACATATCGTTCAGGACCCAAGAACACACAATTGGTTTCTTTTGTAGCCCGCAACGAGTCGCTAGCTTTCGTCAAAAACAAACACAGCGTCGGCTAAATCATGTCTTTTGTGGTACCCTTTATGGGCCAAGTTTTGAGGGAAGGAGGTAAATCATGTCCTTTTTTTCTCTAGAATCATGACTAAAATCAGTGTTGAAGCACCTCTTGTCCAAAAAGACAACATTATCAAGTTTTGGCCCTTATATTCGTTGGGTCCCATTCGATTGCTTCGACTCCTCAACTCGTGGCGCCTGTTCCTTGCTTTCGCTTCAGAGCCACGGCATTCCGCTCTTCGGGCACTTCGGGCTGCCGCCGGTGAGCTACGGCTGCAACCACGCGGTCTACTTGCAGAGCTGCGACTTTGAGAAGAACGCCTTCGTGATATGGACCTGGGGCAGCTCGGATCTTCATGGCGCAAGAGATGCGGGGAATGAGACATGGAATGAACCTGGGGATTCCCGAACAAGGGAAACCACCAGCAAGGGGGGTGTTGTGGGGGGGTCATTCCATTTCTCATTCCCTGCGGGAGAACCGGCAAGTTCTGCGGTTTTTCAGTTTTGTGCGCAGGTTGAGGGATTTCTGGTCAGGTTTGACAAGCTATCGGAGCCCCCCCTTTGGCGTGGAACCCCCCCGCCTCAAAACCCAGAAGCCAACTGAGCTGCAGATGGAAAGCGGAACAACCTTCCGGTGATTTCTGGTTTGTCTCACTCCCTGAGGTCATGGACTTGAAACACTTTGGGTTTGGACCATGTGGCAAACAGAACGTTTGGATTTTTGTTTAGAAAGCCCACTCAGGAAGTTAGTTGCCTTGTTTGAAGACTTTCAAGGAAGTCCAAGGCCCTCCCACGCATCAGAAGAGGGCAACTATTTGGGTAAAAGGCGGCTGGTTTCTTTGAGAGGGCCTGCTAAGAACCACTGGTTCATCAGGTTCCATTCCGGACCCAAACCTGATGCGTTTCGGCGACTGCCATCCGATTTCGCGGTTGCGGGGATATCTGCCGTTTGAACAGACCTCATCTAGGACGAACAGCTTGGAGCGGCAAAACGTGTGGCGATGTGTTCCTGCTTCTGCCCCTAGAGCGCTAGACTTCGGAAACTGAGCATAAAGGTGATGTGCAAAGGGGAACTTTTTTATACAGTTCTGTTTTCCCCCACCAGCTGAGCTTTGATTCTGTGCCCAAATGAGCTCCGCAGTGGTTCAGAGCGGCTCTAAGCTCGGGTTCTGGAAGGGTTTCGGGGGTTGTTGCGAACCTCATTGTGTCGTTTACCGTGTGTTTCTTTGAAACCGTGCATATATCGAATATATATATATATATATACCTGGACCTTCCAACATGTAAAATTAACGCCGTTTCCCAAAACAGCAATAATTTTCGCCGGTTGCTGAAAAAAACGCTCTTTCGGAGAAAAAGCGCTCGCCGTGAGTCCAGCTCGGAACCAGGCAAAAAACAACGCCGTCTCGCCGGCAAATTACGCCGTTTTGACGGCAAATTACGCCGTTTTGACGGCACATTACGCCGTTTTGCAATTTTGATTGATGCTAGAGTGTGCAAACACTGAAAACTGCCGGCAGGCGAAAATAATCGCCGTTGGGTCAAAAAACATAGTTTTTGACAAAACAGCAATAATTTTGCACATGTTGGAAGACCCAGGTATATACATGCATATATCATACTTTGCATATGTATTTGCAATTGGGACAATCGGACCTTTGCTTTTGCGGGTTGGAGAGTCCTTTCGCTGGACCGAGCTGGTGGTCGTTCCACCGGCCGTCTCCGTCTGACAACGGGTCGTTCCAGGCACCAGCGTGACGCTGACGGAGGAGATCTTGTTGGGAGTCCCGGCCAAGCAGCCGTACTGGCCCACCCCCAAGGGCTCGCACCTTGGCCGGGATAGTGGGGATCACCAGACTGGGCAAAGCCAACCTGGGGTCAGTGACTTTTGACGGTTTCTGGGGGCGATCAGAGAATGGTTTCGGTGGTTTCCCTTTAATTCACCACTCCGGGGGTGACTTTGATCATGGTAAAATAGCGAAGCTAGCCAGCAGCAGGTGGGTTCATCCGGACGAGTCTGGATATCTGGCAACGGGAGGCTCAAAGGAAAACGTCGGCTTCTACGCGGACGCGTCGGTCGGCTCTTGGCAGGGCTGAAAGATCAGACACCTTACCCTGAATTGCGTGTGTGCGTTTCTTTGTTTTTGATGCCCCTGAGGTGTCAAGGGCGACCAAGAGAAAACCCATTCTTGGAGCTACCCTTATTCTAGCCACACAATTTGTGTGGGGGATGTCATCTGAACCAAGATGCAGGGTGGAAAGCGCATTTAAGGATAGGCGGCCACAAGAAGCAAAGCACGTGTCACACAGCTGCCGAGGGGGCTCCTTCATTGATGTGTTTCTAATGAAGGTCTAAAGGTCCAATTTGAACGACCCACAATGGGAGATTGCAACCCAACGTTATGGGGTGATTGCAACATGTTCCGAGAGTAGTTTTTTAGTGGATCATTTGTCCCGACCATCTCCCTAGCATTCAGCCCCATTGAATGGCAAGGACCCAATTGAGATGATGAACCCCTTGGGTAGAGAATGACCCTAAGCATCATTGGAGGGTTCTGGATCTCAAGGACAGATGTTTGGAGGCCCCAGCATGTGTTGGGGCCCTTTCTGAATTTGAGGCAGTATTATTCTAGGGGTGATTCGTTTTCCATTCTTTTCAACCATGGTTCTTTTCAAAAACCGGATCCGTTTTTCCTGGGTTTTTGATGGTTTCCTGGAAAGATTCGGATCCCTGGAAAGAATGGACATGGCAGGTAGCAGTAGAATTCACCCAGACCTTAGACCTGGGACCGAGGCATGTGTGGAACACTGGGGCCATCTGCGCCTCCGTCACCGCGGACCAGATCACCGTGGAGTGAGGCAAGCCGCAAATTCACCAAAATTCACCGCCCTTCAAAGACCAAGTTGGGAAAATGGCTGGGTATAGGGATCCAGGGAAAGAACCCATGGAACGACTAGGTAAACAAATACCTGGTTGCCTATATAGTGGTAGCCGGACGCACTGGGATTGTGGCAAGTAGGGGTTGCTTCGTTTCCAGAAAAGAAAGCCACCCGGAAAGATTGGTTTTAGAAAACGGCTGAACAAACTGGGGAGAGGGGGGGCATGGTTGCGGAAAATAGAGATGGTTCAGGGTTCCTTAGAGGATACATGTTGGCAAAGTTGAACAAACACACCGTCTGGTTCAAACAACATGTACATGTACCAGGTGTTTGTTGGCCCTCTGGAAAGATTGGGTGCTTTGGAACGAGATGGGTGAACAGACTGGGGGAGCATGTTTGCCTAAAATAAGGTGTGTGGCCACTTTCTGTGAAACGCTTGGGGAATCGGAACGTGACAGAGTTGTGGTAGGGCCTTGGAATTCCACGTTTGTATCACAGAGTACAACCAAGTCCCAAACTGCATCTTCCGTGGACCTTCCATTGACACTTTTAGCGGGGGATCTGAGGGCAGCCCAGTAACATGAAGGCGGAAATCCGTCTACACGCTTGCACGGCCGATTCTCTCAGGACGAGCCAATAGCTCGGGACAACGGCTCGTGAAACGAACGCGCCGTGATTCCGGATTTTGACGGCAATGTTTTAATCTGGCCAACCGGCCAACGACCCAATCTAGGCAGGTTCGCGCGATCGGGTTGTAGGCTTTAGCATCAATCGAGCTTCCGATTTCAAAACCCGGTGGTCGAACCCATCCGGGTCTCCCAAACAGTGTGTCACACTGCGAAGCCCTTGTCACGCACGCTGGAGATGATCCGGAATGCTGGATCCGATGCGACGCTTCGGGAAAACATCCGTGGCGGCGCGCAGTGAAGGAAGTGATGTCTCTTTAGATTCTCTGGTTTGCCCGCGAGTTTTGGCAGTCAAGAAGGGGTTGGACTGGTCCCGACCACGCGTGCACTCGCGCAACACACTTTGGATTCTGGCCCCTTCAATAACGACGAAGGGCGTGTGCTTTCAAGGGGTAATTACGTACCGCTGTCAGGCTGGTTTAAAGGCACACCAAAGGAAAACCACAATTGTGCGGTCCCCCCCACTTTCACACATCCCTCGTTTTGTTACCATTTTTTACGCATAATATATATATATATATTCCCGAGACGCGGGACCCACGTCTCACCAAGTTGCGATCAGAGTTGGCCTACGAGGTCAATGGGAAACGGTTCCCGCCATGACCAAGGCAATTAGATCCTCCCGGGAAAAAAGATAAATAAAGAAAAGAAAAAAGGTTGCCAGACACCCGGGTCCCAACTTGCAACTGAATTTTCATATTTTTGTTTCAACCATGCAATCAAACACCCCACTAGGTACGGTAACCAAAAGCAGTAGTTGCTATGGACCCGGCTGCTGGTACTTGTTTGGGTTTGTTGAACCTGCTTCGGAACTCCATGCAGGCACCCAACATGTAGAGGTTGGTCTTTTCACCTCGGTGAAAAGCCGATTGCCCCTGATGTTGCAACTTGGGCCAGATGAAAACTTCAAGACGAGCCCTGTTGGTTGTATGTTTCTTTTTCTCCAGAAAGGGTAAATAATGGTTACGTGAATGCCATTGTTTTGATGGGGATTCGAACTCATCGATACACCGCCGGGGAAGCACGGCCCCCCGCGCCTGCGATTTTGAGGACGGAAGTGCTGGCGCAAGCCACTCCGACGAATCACCCGCCCAACTCGGACGTGGAGCAAGGCACACGAGCCAAACAAACTGGTGATATGGGAGATCTACCCCAGAAATCCCTATATTTTCAGAGCCCAAGCAGGTCGGGTTTCTCAAAACAGGGCGTCCCCGAAAAAGTGTTTTTATTTTCCCAGGCTTTCTTGTGGCTTCCAATCAAGGCCGACATTTCAAGGCCGACATTTCAAGGGCTCCGACATTTTGGTGAACACTTTGCGGGAAGCCAACAGAGCTGCCGTACCTCGGAGCTTGGGATGACAATTAGACTGAGCACCTTGAAGCCTGTAGGTCCTTCTTTCAGAGTTTCATAACACGAGGGTTCCATTTGCGCGGCGTTTTTCTCGGGAAGTTCGAGACGCGCGGAAAAGGGAGTGATGAAACAGCCACAAAATATGATGTTTGGCGTACTCCATGGTTTTGCATGTTTTTCTACCAACCCCAACTTCAAACAAAGACTACCAATTTTGGGGTGGCCCCTCGTTGTTTTGGTGTTTTTCATTGGGAAGCAACGAACCCAACCCCTACGAGGAAGGTCCTCTTCCCATTTCGGGTCCCGGGAGCTTCCATGAAATCGCCGGGTACCGACCAAAAAGGGGTACCGCACATCAGGTGTCTCTTTCGCGGTTTGGGTTTGGATTTCAACCCCTTCTTGTAGAGGCTAAATTGAAGAACTATACCTTCAACCGCCATTTTGGAGAGAAGCTGAACACATATCGGCGTTCGACGAATCATGATGAATCCCTTTGACCCCAGGGAGCTGAAGAGATGACAACCTGGTTCTTGTGTAGGGCCCTTTTGACGCCCCGCAGACGGCTTCCTCCTGTAGGCATCAAGCAGCCCAACCGCTCCCCGGTGGAGAAGCTCTCCGACCTCGGGGAGCCTCTCACGGCGAGGGACCGCAACAGCCGGACCCTCTCCATGACCGGCGCCACAGGACGCAAACCGCGGGGAGCCAAAAACCGAGGAAGTTGCGAGAAAAACGGTGGTTTGGAGGTCACAAACGCGGCGGCTTGCTCAAAAAAAGCACCGCGGTTTGTTGTCCAAAAAAACACCGCGGTCGAGGTCCCAAACGCGGCGGTTTTTTCTCGGTCGTTGGTGGCGTCATGATTTGTTTTTCGGTTTTGGGCGTCGATCTGTTGGTTTTCTGGTGGCTCTGGGTATCTGGGTGAGCTTTCTGTTGGTTCTCTGGTGGTAAGTACCTTTTGATTGCCATTTGTGCGATGTTCTCCTGTTTGGGAGAGAAAGAAGATGGAAACTGTTCTAGTGCGAGCCTCTTACTATACCGTTAATCATGGGAGAATTGCCCATAGGTTTGGGAAAATATCGTGCCAGCTGTCCCCCTCCCCTTTGCATGTTGTTGTTGTTGTTGTTGTTGTTGTTGTTGTTGTTGTTGTTGTTGTTGTTGTTGTTGTTGTTGTTGTTGTTGTGTGTGTGTGTGTGTGTGTGTGTGTGTGTGTGTGTGTGTGTGTGTGTGTGTGTGTGTGTGTGTGTGTGTGTGTGTGTGTGTGTGTGTGTGTGTGTGTGTGTGTGTGTGTGTGTGTGTGTGTGTGTGTGTGTGTGTGTGTGTGTGTGTGTGTGTGTGTGTGTGTGTGTGTGTGTGTGTGTGTGTGTGTGTGTGTGTGTGTGTGTGTGTGTGTGTGTGTGTGTGTGTGTGTGTGTGCCTTTCTTTTCTTTTTTTTTGTGGGGAACATATTTGCTTCTGTGCGAGTTTGAGCCGGCTTACCGAGCGCTCGGTAAAGAGGTTGGGAAGTCAAAGTCATTTGGGCCGTTTGGATCAGGGCTATCATCGGATCCCCTGGGGAAAACAGAACTAGATGTCCAACTAGAGACATCACAACTTGTACCCCCCAACTTGCCTGCTTTTGTCCAAAGTCCCAAGTGTCCAACAAGCAATGGACTCGCGGGTGCTGGAAGGAAACTCAACCAAATAACTCGGCCCTTCAGCAAAATTATAGATAAAGTGTGACTTGCCCATCAGTGTTCTGAGCTTGGGGCAACCATCGGAGCATCCATCCCCGTCACGAATCCTTCGTATGAAAATGAAGCTGACACGAATCGATTGGCAATTTTGTTGGATGAGACAAGCCCATAATCTTGCTGGTTCTCATCCGGGAATGAGAACTGGAATGACCCCCCCCAAAAATACAATCCTGGTCATCTCCTTTAAGGGAACCGTAGGTTGATTCCCAAAGCCTGGGTCTTTCCTACTGAGCACCGGCAAGTCTTACCTTTGTGAGGCACCGGGCCTAAAGAATCAGAATGGGGCATTTTGGCCTCAGCTGGAGCGGCGCCCCCAGGAGTTTTTTGGAAGGTCTGGGGAAGTGTTGTCTATTCCTTGAATTGTGGGTTTGGAAGGTTGGGAGGTGATGGACCTTTTTCTTTTCTTCGATTGCCTCCACCCCCCCCTCCCACACAGGAAAACCAAGACAAAACAAATCCAGCAGCAACATCAAGTTCTGGCTTTCCAATAAAATGCAAACGATGTTCCCCCCTCCCCAAAACAACTCAATTCTTACTACCCTCAAACATTGGGAAACAGAGGAGTTCCTCCACCACCCGCCCCCCCCCCCCCCAACAAAAAAAAAACAAACGTATGGCTTTACAATTAAGATCCCATACCCTCCCACCAACTAACATGGAAGTGCAAAAAGGCCCCCTCAAGAGGAAGGTCGTCTTTCTACAAGGGTCTGTGCACTTCCATGTTAGCTGCTGGGAGGCATAGTGTCCCCGGAGAGAAAAAAAATGCAAAAACAAACAAACAAACAAACAAACAAACAAACAAACAAACAAACAAACAAACAAACAAACAAACAAACAAACAAACAAACAAACAAACGACACCCATACATTTTCCTCCCGCTCCCCAAGACAACTCAATGCCCAGTGCCCAGTCGCGTCGGCTGTCTCACAGGAGCCACCAGCTACATGGAGCTCCCTGCGCTGGACCCGGAGGAGCTGGCGGCGGACGTGGCCAAGGAGCCGCGGATGGCTCCGGGTGGATCGCTGGTGGGTCGATCACCGGTGATCTCGGGGGGGATCTCAGGGGGGCCTGACTGGTCTGACTGCTTTCTATCACTTCTCTCTCATTTGTTGTCTAACCGCTTTATTTATTTATTTTGCGGGGGGGGGGGGGGGTGTTTTTTAAGGTTTTTAACCTTGCTTCAAAGGGAGACCAAAAGGACAAACACCCATTTTGACCGGGTTCGGCTATTTTGGCTCAGGAGGGCAATTTGGGGGGTTTACTGGTTTCTTATGGGCTTATGGGCTCTTAGTTGGGGGGGTCTTACTGGTTTCCACTTAAGGATTTTGTGTTTCTACCCACGGCTTTTGTGGGCTCAAAAAGGGCGAAAAGCCAATACCCCTCAACTTGCCTAGTTTTTGCAACCATGTGTAAAATTTCCAAGTGTCCAAAAAGCAGAGGTTGGGGGATGCAGGTAGGGATTGTTGTGATGGTTTTTCACCTTGCTTCAAAGGGAGACCAAAAGGAAAACCAGCCATTTTGACTGGTCCGCCTTTTTTGGCTCATGATTTTGATTTGGGGGTCTTACTGGTTTCTTATGTGACTTTGACTGGTTTCTTATAGGATCTTAGTTGGGGGGATCTTGCTGGTTTCTACCAGTTAGGGGGTGACTTTGACCATGCAGCAAAATACGACGTTGACGGGTTTTGTGCGATTGTCAAGGTCAGCAACCAGGGGTGTTTACCTTAACCTAATGCCCAACCCCTCCAGTAGGGCCCCATGATGCTTAGGGTAGGGGCATTTTGACTGCTTCTGCCAAGGGGGTGACTTTGAAACAGAGTGATGGGGCCTGTCTGGCTAGTTATTTCCCAAGACATCCCATCTGACAAGGAGTTCTACTAGGTGATATCGGTCCTTCCGACCCAAAACTTTCACAAACCGACCCAACGGAGTCAAAGGTTTGCTTGTTGACGCAAAGTTGGATCTGTTGTTACATTTGACTCGCCGAGGGCGTGGTTTGCTTTTGGTTTGGTGTACTGAGGGTCCCCTTTTTGTTTGCTCTTCTTTGGTTCAGTTTGGATTCGTTGCGACCTCTGAAGTTATGTCTTGCATGTTCGGTTCCCAAAAATGGTGACTGTTCATTTGGTGTCCAGTGGCTTGAATAAACGGGTTTGTAGGTTAGAGCGAAGCACGATAGTGTCATGTTGGCCACAGCCCAAACGCGAGATGAAGGCTAAGAGATAATAAACACGAATGGGTGCAGCCGCTTTCAATTCTTTGCCATGGGTTCTTGGTAGACCTTGGAATACCGATCGGTTTTGATTACGACTTGCGGAATTCGGCGCTTGGAACCCATTTGTCATGGAGGTTCCGCGCTTCACTTGGCAGGAAGAAATTCCTATGCATCCTGGAACGCCCCGGACGGTCAGGGAATAGGACATAGAGAAGGGGGGACAATTTTGGGTAAAGCCCAGAAGCAGACGCAGCCCCTTCAAGTGATCCCTGTTGCCCCTAAGCGCAAACCCATACCTATTTGGACAGAACGAAGCAACTTCGTCTGGATTCTCATCCCCTCCCAACATGTCCGCAAGTGTCGTCAACGCCAGCCGGAGCCTTTTTTGGTCAACTTCAGGAGACGAGCAAAAAGCTGTGGATGGAGCCTTTGACGTACACCGAGAAGGCGAAATGAACTCAGCGTTCGTTGGGAGACAGTGGCTCCCAGGCAATGGTAAGGGGGAAGCATCATGTAAAGCCTGGTAAGAAACTCTGGTTGCCTGTCGTGGAAACCGGAAGCACTGTAACTGGATCCTCAAGCCTCACAAATTGGCAAATTCACCTTGGAATTTTTGGCAGGCGCAATCTCCGACACTGGGGCAAACTGGGCAGTGGCTATTGTTCCTTTGGTAGGACCCCGTACCATCGTTTAAACTCCCAATTCACGTTCCCAAAAACTGCTTGTGGAAGCCCTTTTTGGCATCGCATGCTATTTTGCAGGGGAGTAGAGAGGAATTTGAAGAGCTTTCCTGATGTTTTAGGACAGAAAGAGCCCTGATTGCTTCCACCAGTTGAAAAATCTGTGCTAGACCCAGTCGGTTTACATACAGGAAGAAGGGAACAGACGGGCTCCAACTGTATTTTCAGCCAACAAGGGGGCAAAAAGACAAATTGCTGGAAGCCTGCTCTCCCGCACTTGAAAGGGGGGCTGGAGGCATGTGTTGAAGCAAAATCGAGGCAAAACCATCGAGAACCAGCGATTGGTCACGGACAGGGATTTTGATGTGATGTGCGAGTGCTTTCTATTCGGTGCTGTCATTCTCCCCGAAGAAATTGTCGTGAGTGTGAGTGTGTGTTTGTGTGTGTGCAGGGTTCCATTGGATTTCCTCGATCGAAACCCAGGGGCTGGCGATTTCCTGAGGGGACCCGGTTGCCGGGAAGGGCGTGAACAAGCAAGCAGCGCCCAAAACACCCAAGCCGCCATAGGCTCAGTCAATGGTTTTCAGGCCTTGCTCAAAGTGAATCTGTGTGTTTGCCAGGCATGTTTGTGTGTGGGTGTGCTTTTTGGGCACCTTCATTCGGGCTTGGTTTACAGGGAAACCAACTGGGTTCCCTCTATTTTGACTCAGACTCATTTGTGTTTGCCTCAACACTGGGCAAACCCCTGGTCTTGGTTTCTCTTCTAATGTCCCTTTTCAACCAGGTGCTTCCTGTTGGGCACCTGCATCATAACCGCTTCAAACAAAGACATTTATTGCCCCCATGGGTGTTTTCCAATGTTTTCCAGGTCCACCTCCCCAAAATCGCGTCAAATGAAGACAGCCACGGGTGTTTTCCACTGTTTTCGCCCACAAAACCCACCAACAGTCACGGTCAAATGGAGACAGGTCCGATCGGCCCTACTGTGGATGGACGAAATCCATCTTGCACCACCTAAGAAACCCCAGCATCATATGATCCCCTGTACAGACCAACAAACGTAATGGTTTCAACCATGGTGTCTTGGGTGGTGTCTTGGGTTTTGTCCATCCACAGTATGGGTTGTTTGGGTGTTTTCGCCGGCAAGCCGCACCAAAAGTCAGCTCAAATGGAGACAGGTCCGATCGGCCCATGGGGTTTCTTGGTCGTTCCTTCAAGCCAGGTGAAGGTGAGCCTGGCGCGGGCTCTGATCATGAACCCGGACCTCCTGGTGCTGCATCGGCCCTTCCACCACTTCGACCTCGCTACGGCGGACGATGTCCTCGCCGTGCCTCGCGATGATGGGCATTTGGGGGAAGGCCCCAGGTTTTCCCCTAGGCTTTGCCCCCAAAAGGTTGTTCGGTTTCCAAGTCGCAAGAATCTACCGAAGATGGCTCCTGTTTTGTGTGTGTGTGTTTTTTGGACCCGTTCACTGTTCGAAACGGGTTGCCGGGTTGTCTATTACCACAAAACAACTGTTTGCAAACGATCAAACGGTTCCTTGCACCAGCCGGTAAATTGTGCGAAGAGTCCATTTTAGTGGCAAACAGAGCTTGCACACTTTTTGCGCGAAACCGAAACCTCGAGTAAGCAAGTAAGGAAGGAAGCAAGTAAGTAAGTAAGTAAGTAAGACGGGTTCGCAAGTATTTTGAAAACAAGCAACCCGGATAGTCAGCCCATTGGGCCTTGGCCGTAAGAGCGGCTGGTTCCCACTCGGTTATTCAGTTTGGCAGAAGCGGCTCTTCGTTTTTGGAGTCGAAGTGTCCCTATGGCTCTCAAGCTCTTGATATCTCTTGATATCTCCTACTTATTAAAGTTCAATCCATGAAGCATTTAGGCGTGTCTTTTTTGTGTGTCTTAAAAGGGAAGCCCGGAGCATTTTGCACCGCGGGTCACCCCCATTAGCTGGGTTCCCCTTTGTTCAGACAAGGGGACTTATCACTGGCGTTTCAAGAACCGGCAATTCCAACATCCCAACTTGTGGCGGGTGGCAGTTTCGGTTGGACCCGGGTGCTGTTGGAAGGCAAGAGGCCTTTTTCTAGGGGTTGATTCTTATTCTTTTCAACCATCGTTCTTTCAAAACACCGGCTGTTTCCCCGGGTTTTTGATGGTTTCCTGAAAAGAAGGATCCCTGGAAAGAATGAGGAAGGTACCCCTAGATTTTTGTTGGGCTTTCGGTTTTCACGTTGAGACAACTCCCATTCGTCAGGTGCCAGTTGCTTGGCAACTCAGGTCATCAAGGCACACCACGCGAACCGCGGGGCGTGCTTGCCCGTGGATGACAAGATCCTCAGCCACAGTTTTGCCTGGCGTTTGGTTTCAATGGGATCCCAACATATGTAGCTCGTCATTTGAGGCGAAGGCTACCGTTTTTTGGAGGGAAACCAAAGGTCCCCACCAAATCTCGTCTTTTGAGGCGAAGGGTCCATGAAACCAAAGGTTGGCCCCCACCAACTTCTGGGGGTTCCGATTCCGTTTTTTTGAGATGCCGGAAATGGATGGAGACCCGCTGGAAGGACGACGTGGGATGAACGCTCATCTGCTGGTTCCCTGTTTGGACAGCTTCCAGTACCGCCCAACAACTCCTACTTAAGAAGCAGTGGTTTCGGGGTGCTGGTCAGTGTGACACTTTTCCGGACTGGATGAGAGCGTGGCTACAGCCGGTCGTTGGTGTCCTTTTAGAACAGATATCGAAGTAGGTTGGACGACTCGATCACGGTGAATAGTGCCTGCGTCGTTTCTCATTCACGCGAGTAAGGGGTACCCACGCGATCAATCACAGCTGACCAACGATGTGTTTCACTCCCTGAGTTCCGCTGTGGACTTCATACGTTTGGGAAGACCGTTTTAGTTCTAGGGAACTGTGCCATTTCTCATGTAAACAAATGGGGCAACACGAGTAATTTACACAATGTTACCCCCCACCCCGCACCCGAATTCTGCCTTGTAGACTACTCCAAATACCCACATCTTTAAGGGCACAGAAGTCCTGGTTTTCCATGGTACTCACCTCCTTTGTTAGCCAAGTGGACATCATACCCTTCAGAAAGTGGGGTATGCGGAGTAGGGGGGCCCTTATGGCTGGTCTTTGGTGTGACCCAATCACCCCGTCAGGACCTGGAAACAACCGTTAAAAATAGAAAAGGTGATGAACCCTTTGCTGCGGGGGGATTGGAGCAACCCAATGAATGGCATCCCAGGATGAATCAACCTCAGTTTATTAGTAAAGAGTGTCTCTGGGTTTAGTGGGGAATCAGACCACTTTTGGACGGGAACATCCAAATAAGAAGGACGGGTTTATGAATCCAGGGTCGACATGATATTCCATTGCCTCCACTTCGCATGGCCCTGGCCCAAGAAATCTCTCATATTCCATCCCCGAGGAACTCGCGAAGACCTCGCTGTGTGGTTTTCTCCCCGGAGACGGTGGAGCAAGCGCGGCAGGCCGGAAAGTAGGAGCTTTGAGTTCCAATGGAAGCTGACGAAACGTCAAAACGAAGCCGTGATTATTTGAAAGCGGGTAGGTACCACCTGGTATTTTACTGGATCCCAGGCAAGCGGTAGCAAGTAACCCTTCGCCATGTTCTTTTTTTTGTTTGTACAGGGTGGTTTTGTTGGTTGCCCACAATTCAGGGGAATGGAGTCACTGGGTAAGTGGTTTTCCAGTAGAGATTATGGATTGGGATTGACACTCCATTTTGAGCCGCCCAGTAAGGGGCTAAACAATTACACACATGGCCCTATCATGGCCTAAGTTGATAAAGTACCCTTCCACTCCATGCTAGTCATTTAGCCCAATATATGTATGTGTGTATTGTGTGTATATATATATATATATATTTGTATGATTGCTCGTTTGAACACAGGAGATATTGCCTCCAAATCGTGGTGCCTCTTATCCGACCGGTTTTGCAGCAGCTTTGGTCAACACAGGGCGACATCGCCTCCATGGCAGTCGATGTGTTCCAGTCGCCGGCAGACTGTATGGAAGGAACTAAGACCGAAAGCACAGTTGGATGGCAGTCGAGGTTTGAGGAAGAACGTTGGGGCCGTCAAATCCTAAACCCCACTTGTTGTGAGTTTTCTTCTAGGTTGGCTCCAACCATCCCAAAAACGTTGATTAGGCTGCCAGTGAATGAAAGAGTTCCCTATCTAAGCAAGGGCTCATTTCAATTGGACCCTCCTAGTTCATCGGTCGTGTTGCTTGCCAGCGATTCCATGGAGGCCACCATGAGGAAAGTCTGTAGCTGCCATAGAATCGCCTGAGGGCATTCTTCCGAGCCGTTGTCTGGAGTCATGTGTTGACTGATTCTGCACTATAGGTTGCTTCCCTTTGACTTGCCACTTCTAGGGTGCTATTGGGTCTTCTAATTTAGCTTTGTAGTTGAACATGTGTATTCTCCACTAACCCACAACTGGTTTCAAGTTGTTTTTTGTTTTCTGCGGAGGTCACCAAGACTTAGAGGCTGTGCTGAAACATTGTTCATCAGGCCCGTGGATTCGCGTTCTCAGGCGCACATTCTTTGGCTGCGGGCTGAGAGTTTTTCAGCAATGCGACCGACGGAGAAGGGGGCGTGACAAAACTGGGGACCCTCAAGCCAGCACCAGGCTCTAGCACTGCCTTTTGGTTGCCGTGCCAGGATAATTTTGATGACATGGCTGAAAAGCAGAAAAGTTGGGAGGGGGGGGGGGTTGGCAATTGTAGTCGTAACCTTTTGCTTCCCTTTCAACCCCACCCCCCCCCAAAAAAACAACAACAAGCCAAGGTGGTATCCCAAGGGCCCGGAACGCTTACTTGGGCAGAGACCCGATAGCTTTCAGCCGGACCGAACAACCGGGAGTTTGCATGATGCAAAAATGGAATCATCACCCCTTATTTTGGGTAGATGGCCCATGTGTTTCTCAGGGTCATGGAGACTCCAGGTACCCTCAACAAGCAGACCAGGAATAAATGAAACTGAGAATCCTCCTGTTGGGAAATGGGGGTTGCTCAGCATGTCATTGGGGCAACAGATGAGTATAAAAAGGTGGTATACGGGGGGGGAAGGTTCTCGAAATAGGAATTGATCCTGCAACGTCAATGGCCTTTTCGTTCCACTTTAAATCGCAACCAAGTGGGGTCCACCATCTTGAGAAGCCCTCATATTGACTAAACAAAACCATGCAGAGAACATGTGACAATTATGTGTCTCATACGACCGCGTACCCTTTCTGGCTTCGATTCGAGTTTGCTTTGTTGCCCTACAGCGGCAGCTGGGTCTTACACAATTTGTGGTGTGCCATTGTTTTCTTCAGGTTCTAAAAGGTTCCAGGATACCCCTCGCCCATACGCGTGATCAGAGTTCGGCTTGTTTCCCACCATGGGGTGGTGCGTTTAGGGCATTGACTGAGGCAAATCGACCACATCGACAAGACCGTGCGGGAAGTACATCGGCAAGAGCTGAACAGTAGGTTTGAGCCTGTGAAAGTTCCACAGGCAGGCTAATTTATCGCAAGCCCGGACGGTGGCTGCAAGGGTGTTTCTCGTGGATAGATGTTTTCCAATTGAATCCATTCGCAAGCAACACCGCACCCCAGACTTGTCAAAATGAACCCCTCGCTTGCCCTTTCATTCAATCGAAGCCCTGTCCGGGCACTTGAGTAGCAGCCTCTAAATGAGGCGGCGCCCAATCCGTGAAAAGGGTAGGTAGCTTCTTTCGGGTTTCACTTCTTCCACGTTCGGCGTATTGGACGTGACGCTTGCGCCAGGCGCGCTTTTCCAGCTGGAAAGTGCTCGTTCTTGGTCCGCACGGATTTTTGGCTCTTGGTCGGGACTGCCGGTCCTGCCGAATGACTTTTTTGAAGGGAAGCCCCTAGACCAAACCGAAGGCTTGGAACTCAGGTCGTTACTCTCTGCAGCGCTTTGGGTCTTAACCGTGAGGAGTGACTGTAGGAGCCTGAGTGGATGGCCCAAAGAAGTCCAAGCTTTATATTTATATGCCGCTAAAATGGTCCTTCCACAAAGCAAGTCCAGGAACGCAGGGAGTGAGATTGTGTGTAATTGTTTAGCCCCTCACATTTCAACTCTGAGCAGCGCGTTTGAGGAGTCGTTACAAGGCACTCAAGGCAAGGTGAGGGTACCATTTTGGGGTGGTTCCAAGGAAAAAGCCACAGGAAACCCGCATTTATGGATTTATTGATTTCTTTGTTTATTTGTCGAATTATGTTAGATATGTGTTTGTCTTAGTTGTTTTTCCTTATGTATTTGTACTTATTTGTTCAATGATTGATGTGTTGTTTCTATATTGTATTTATTTGCTCGTCTTTCTCGGGGGGGGAGGGGGACGGGTCCCCCTACTTGACACACCTCCAAAGCATGAGGAGAACTTTCAAAGGCTCGGGAATTGAAGATTGAAGTTACGTTTTGCCCTTTGCAGATTCCTTGTTCCATCATTTCATGGTTGTTGCGGGGAACCATTTTGCATTTTTGCTTATTGCGGTTTAGTGGGAAATTCCCACTTAACTGCTAAAATTTAGTTTTTTGCTCCCCTTCCAACGTCAACCACGATTTACCCCTCCCACCCTTTTCACATGGAACCGGTCCTGGCTTCCATTTTCCTTCAATGGGACCTGCCAGGTTCCATGTTAGGGAGGCTGCCAATATGAATGGGTTTATACAACGCGGTGCTACGCTTCAAGCTGCCCTTTGTTTTGAGGATACCCCGCCCCTTTAAAAGGGGTTTGGCAGGGAAGCCAAACAATTCTCCAGACGAGCCACCAGCACCCTGCAAGGGTTGTCCATTGGTACCCAACATGGCTCACACAAGGGCGCTTCAGGTACCAATGGGCCATTCTTGGAGGGTGCTGGAACATGACCCCCCCTTTTTGAAATATTTGCAGGAAGCCAACAAATATCCTAGGGATTGATTCCCCAGTGTTTTTAGCCATCGTTCTTTTCAAAAACCGATCGCCATTTCCTTCGGCTTTGTGGTAATTTTCTAAAAAAAAGAGTCGGATCCCTGGGTTAAGACTGGAACTGGCTTAGTTTATCCTAGAAATATCCCAAGCTTCAAAAAAAAGGCGAGCCACCCACGTCCTGCAGCTCATTTTCCGCTCATTTCCGGCCGCCGAATCCCGATGCCATGGGCTGTGCGGCGCGGGAGGTGCCATGGGAGCCACGGCCAGAAAGCCTCGGGGCATGGCTCTGAGGTCAGGGCACTTGAGAGCTTTTCTTTTTTTTGAAGAGACACAAACTCGAGTGGTAGCTCAAAGGTTTGGACTTCTTTTAGGGGAGTTGTTTGGGGGTTGGACGCCACAAAATATGACTTTCATTCAGAATGGAATTTTGGTGAATGGAAAGGACGAAAACCTGCGGTCCCCGACTGAAACCCGCAGTTGTTTGGTTGCTTAATTTTGACCCATACCCATTTGGCTTCTCAAACCCAACATGGGCTCGCCATATCCCTCTAACAGCCCCAAAGGGGCGCTCAAAATCAAAATCACTCACACCCACCAGTATCCGGGTCCCAAGAACTGCTTTTCAACCATGCAACCAAATCCCGGATCCCAAGAAATGCATGTTCAACCAACATCGCAACTTGGTATACGGGTTGCAACCAAAGCCGCATGGCTTTAGCCGTGTTTTTGCTGGAGCTTGATCCAAGGACGCAGCCGCGATGCGCTTCGGGACCGGACGACTTGGAAATCGAAATCCGGCCCTTGACGGCCCTTCGGTGACTGCCGGGGTTTCTACGCGAAAGTTTCCCAACAACAAGCATACCCCAAAGGAGGTGGCCATGGGTCAAGACTATTGGTACCATTTTGGGGTACCACCCATTTTAGTCTATCTTAGTGTTCACTGGGGGTACGGGCTTTTGACCAATGGCCAGGTCTGGAATTACCCTGAATTTGGACAGCCCCGATGAATTTGCCCTCAACATGCGATTCGACCGAGCCGAGCGAAACCACGAGGGCGAAGGCCAGGAAAGCGAGGAAGGAAGGCACCACGCATCAATACGCCAACGGCACACCAAGTGGCAAGGGACGAGCCAGCGCACGCCCGGCCAGACGAATCGGGCCTTCCGCCAAGGCCAAGAAGGACACGGAGCTCAGGTCTGCACCTGCCAAGCGCGCTTAACCCGGGTAAGGCCACCAGGGCCCCATCACAGAAAGCGAGACCTCGCGCAGAACGGAAACCTGCCAAGGACACTCTTGAGCCAAATCCAAAGCTCCGAGCGTCAACGACCCTGAAATCGCGTTGCGGCGTCCTCTTGTTTCCCTTTGATGACTTAAAGGGGTCCGAAATCCATGAGGGACATCCAGGACCACCTGTGTTGCTGAATCCCCAAGTCAAAAGAGGGCCGGTTCGCTTTTGGATGGAGCCTGTTGGGGTCTTGGTCGCGGCTCGCATGGCGTATTTGTCAATTTCCGGTGATTACCCAAATCTGCATCCCTGCATGGGGAAAGACAGGCAACTTGGCAAATATTTTCGTTGGATTGTCTTTGAACAGCCGAAGAGGCGAAAGTGGTTTGGCTCTTTGGCAATCCACGAGGCTCGGGGCCGCGAGAGTGCGGACCTAATCAAGCAAATATGAAACAACTCATGACTTTTCCTGGCCAATCCACGGAATTCAGTCTTCAACTTCAAAGGATCGGCAAACAGTTGCCCTTTCAGAAGGGCCCCTTTTGAGTTGATTTGGGAGGGGAACGGAAAGGTGTCTAAAAATAACCGGAAACACACCTGGAAGCTGTTTATATCAAAACTAGGCTATCTGCCCATCCAAGTATTGAGCTTTCTTTTGAATTTGCTGCCTGCAGATCTCCTCAAACGTTTCTCTATATACTTGACACACGCCCATTTTTCCAGGACTGCATCCATTGAGATCCAGGTTTGACACATGCCGACTCCTCCGACAAACAAACAACACCAGATCTCCAGCGGTATCCTTGAAAGTTTTTTTTGAAGGGGGTTCCTTCAAACCAACCCACACCAAAAAAAAACAGGTCCGATTATTTTTTTCCCAGTGGCCACCAGGGCTCTGGGCACTAACCTTGAGTTTTTTGCTGCAACCGCTTTGCATTGACTTTCTATTACTGACTGTAATTTACGGATCCTCGAATCCGCACCTGAAATACTTGGATCAGTTGTTTTTTTGTGGGCAAATTGTGTATTGTTACTGGGGTACATTGGGACGAGTCTGGCGACTCGATAGACCTGCGGTGAGTGCAACCTAGAAGGCTCCGAATGAAATGTGGTTCCTTGCTTTGGAGGGTACCTGTGTTTTTGGTGCTTTTCAGGGGAAACCAAAGGAAACACTTGTTGTTTTTGTTTGGGCGAGGGGTCCCTAAAAGAAGGACGCAGTCATATTCCTTTCTTCTTGTTTCTTTTGTCATTTTCCCCGTACGGCTCGCATTCTACACCCCCACTTCCCATCTTGTTGTCCTAGGCCCCCCCTCCCCAACTCCCCAGCCACCTCCCCCAACCCTGGCGGGAGGACTCCCCTCACGCCGCTGAAGCCGCGCTGGCAGCTGGCGCTCGACCAGCTGTCGCGTGAGGCGCCGCCGTGAGGAGTTTCCTTGGAGTTTCCCCAGAATCGGAGGGGTTGGCCTCCAAAGAAGGAATGGATGTTCCAGCCTCCTAAATTTCAAGGGGGATCTGGAGGGGGTGTACCTTTAAGGTCAATGGTGTCTCCGCCTTTTTCTTGGAACAGAGTGCACAATGTGGAGGGGCTTCCTTCAGAGGGTGGCAGTAAAACAAAATACGTAAAGCGACTGGGCGGCATGAGGTTGCAGCTTTCTGTGATTCCGATGTGCAACATATTTCTTTGGGAAACGCAGCGGAAGCGAACTTTCAGCCACACAAATTTGTTTCAGGGCACCTTTGCACTTTTGACATATATCAGCAGCACCCAAAGCCCGCCATTGGCCATGTCAGACGAGGGTTTTCTTAGGTTTAACAAGGGTTACCCTCCATAAAGCTTTGTTACCATCTCACCAACAGTCAACTCAGGTGAAACGGGTGCTGCCATGACTTCGATGCGGGTGCTTTGTTGTAAGATGGTGCCCCCAAGATGGTTCCCCCAAACCAGCCAGGTAGAACTGAGTATACCGGGGTCTTCGAAACAAGCAGATTAACCTACAAAAGGAACGATCCTTTGCTCGGGGAATACTCATCCCATGGTTGTCAGTGCCAGCCCCTGTTGGTAGGCCCTACAGTGTGGGTCAATATTTTCATGACATCCCACAATCAAAACCCGGGTAGATGGTTGGTAATTAGGGACAATTCCAACTGCACATAGCTGCGGCCGCGTTCTTAATTCTTGACATAGTTGTGGGATTACGACCATTTTAATACCGGGTTTTGATTATGACTCACATCAGGTTGTGAAGGTCCAGCTGCAAAATGGCACGATTTCCTTTTGGCTTTCCCTTCAAAGCCGACCAACAAGGTGTCCTTCCACCCGGGTCCATAGCAACCACTTCTTTTTGCACCAAGGGGATTTTGGACATGGCTTAAAAAGCAGTTGCAAGTTGGGACCCGGGTAGCTGGGTGTGGTTGTCTTTGTGGTTTTCCTTTGAAGCCCATAAATACCTTTTGTTTAAACACAGCAAATAGCTCTTCCTTTCGTTGTTTTCTTTTGGTTTTCCTTTAAAGCCCACGAAAAAAAGGGTTCTCAGGGTAAATTTGGAAAAACCTGGGTTTTCATTGCCAGTGGGGTTCTTTCTGTGTTTCCTTCTGGTTTTCTTTTGAAGCCCACGGAAAATGGGAGTTCCCTTTCGGTTTCCCCTTTGGCGCGTCCGGCCGATCCTTCCATCGCAGGCCTGGGACGTGGTGACCTGCAGCCGCGCCATCCACCGCTGGCGCCCGGCACTGCTCTTGCTGCAGGCCATGGCCTCCAAGGCGCCGGCGGTGACTGATACCTCCGGAGTTAAATTTTCCTCGGTGGTTTGTTGATGCCTCCAGCGGTTCTGAGATGTGTGCCTCTGTTCTTTTTCTGGAGTCTCCATGACCCTGAACAAATGGGGCCATTACCAGAGAAAAGGGTCATGCATGGACACATCTTGAAAGGGTCATGGAGACTCCAGGTATATCTCTTTTTAGTGTTTAGGGGTTGGATGTCCATGCAACCCACTAAATGTAAAATAAATAATAGCCGAAACAACCGAGGACAATTGAGAACAGCCCAGTTTTGGGAAATCTTGACCCCGGATTCATGAACCTGTCCTATGGGGTGTTCCCTCCAAACCACAAAAAGGGGCGCCTCCAATCAAAATCAAGCAGGGGTTCTGCTTACCCGGGGTTCCCATTACCAGCCCCTAACGGCTGCTGTTTCCCATTTCGACATCTCTAACCTCTAGTATTTTGCACGTCACACCAAAAAGAGTTACTGACCTTAAAGCGGGTCAAAAGATCAATAGGTCTCTGAAAAGCCCCCCTCACAAGGAACATACATCGAGTTGGAACCCTGTTGCCTGTACCGGGACCCTCAAACTACCCGTTTTTTGTTTTTTGTTTAAGAGAGGTTGACGAAACATGACACATGATCTGAACAGAGGTTCCCTTGGGTGTACTTTGTTCGGCCAAGTCTGAAATTCCGCCCCCCAAAGGTGGGTTCATTTTAGGAATCCGAGTTGCGACTACCCGACTTAAATGGTGGTTCATGTTGGGTTTCCCATCCACATGTAGTTTTTAACCTCAAAACGGGCACCCAAAGCAGGCCCCTCGTGTGGGCCAGCCAAAAAGCCAATCCAACTTGAACGGGAAATGCAACGAGCTAACATTAGGCCTCCTTTAGTAATAGTACCCTCTATTGTAGAATTTAGGATCCTGGGACTGTTTTAGGGGTCCTCTATTGTGGAAAGCTGGTTTGCCGGAAACAACGCTGGTTGTGCTTAGTCCCCTGTGGTTTGCTGGAAAGCTGGCGTGTGTTTCTTCTTGTGCCCGTTGAATCATGGACCCCTTTGGGATGTCAGGTCAAATAGAAGGGGATGTGGAGGTAAATGGGTAGTTGAGTTTCACTTTGGTTTCCGTTCAAAACAATTCCAAGGACAAAAGTTATTTGTTTTCTTCTTGCAATAGTAATGGGCAGCATAGTTTCGCACGTGCAGCAATACAACGAGCGATTGTACCCATGATGCAGATTCCCTGCTTCGTTTGACAGTAGTTTATGAAGCTCTCCTTTGGGCTGACGTATGGCGGGGGGTACCTCCAATGAAGAGACAGTCCATCGCCGTGGTTTTTGGAATGTGGGTACAAGGGTAAATCAGGTCTGGAGGAGACAAAGCGGAACAAGACATCATGTCCTAAATCCCAAGAACGGGGTCCCGTTTCGCCGGATTTGACCGGGAAAAGTTACAACCTGAAGCAGGAAGGGACGTATCAGCGGACGCATATGGAGATGATTGTCTTTGTAGCGCTCTGTCCGGTCCCTTGGAACTGGCTTCGGCTCAACCTGCTTCCAACATGGCGGTGAGGTATATCGCACCAAGCCCGTTGTTCATTGTGCCCCTGAAAGGTGTGTTGAAGATCACATGCAACGCTGTGCGAAGCAAAGGTGTCCTTTTCAAAAGTATTCTGACTGTTTCTAAACAGAGTGAAAGTGAGGGGACTTTAGTGGCAAAATAATGCAGCTTGCGTACTTGGATCTTTGACCAACAAAGCTGTTTGGCTGGAAAGGAGTCTATTTCCGAAGAAACAAATTGGAAAAACAACAACAATAACAAACATGTTTTCTTACCATGTCCGAATCCCACGTAGCCAGAAAGCAGTGGTGGGGACCCAGGGACTGGTACAGTCTCAAGTTGTTGGGGCACAAGGCCTGAGCTTCCTCACCAGTCTCTTCAACTTGGTTTGGACATGTCTTTGCGAAAAGTTGGGTCTTTTTTTTGGACCCTTTCATGGGATTGGTTTAAAGGGAAACCAACAGGAAACCGAAATCCATGTTTGGGGGGTCCAAATTCCGATTTCAGACACCCAGCTAGACGTATTGCGGCTCATGAGCCGTGCGAGGATGTCCAAGCAGATGTGGTGTGCTACGGCGGCCTCATCCACGCCTGCGCGGGATACGACGGTGCGTGGCGCGTGGCGATGCAACTGCTGGCGGAGATGCTGGACCTTTGGGTTGCAAGCACCCCAATTGAAACATGGCTTTGTCAACACCAAAATAAAGGGAAACCACCATTTACAAGCTGCAATGTTCATGTGTATAATGTAAGTTCCATTTCCATTCCTTCCAGGGATCCGAATCTTTTCAGGCAACCATCAACACCCAGGGGAAACCGATCCGGTTTTTGAAAAGAACGATGGTTGAAAGAATGGGGAAGCAAGCCCTAGAAGCATGGTTGCTGTTGTTTTTTTGGGGTTACCTAGAGTCTCCGCGACCCTTAAAAATCAGAAGGGGTGCTCCCTGGGATGTAGTTGTAGCGCTGCAAAGCTCAGAAACCACTGCGAATACCATGGTTTCCCGGTCTCTAAAAAATGGGTTCACTACCTAGAATAAGGGGGTCATGGAGTGAGTCTCGGTACGGGGAGAAAACAACCCCTCCACCTAGAACCCCTCATTCACTGTTGTGGTGAAATTCTCATGACTTGCGCTGCTCAGCGAATCCTTCGAGGGATTTTGGGAGCGAAGCGGTTGGGATCTGCTCAAAGGATGCTACCTGTTGGAAGTTTCAGTTCGAGGACGATGTCCTATCAAACTAGCACGTCAACAGAAGCAACCACAAGCCACGGAGGTTGGGGACAACCCAATTGGCCAAAGGGCCTAAACAGAGGGAGTACCAAAAAGAGCTAGCAACGGAAGTTGGATTGACCACTACTCGAGTGTCAACAGCCAAAACCTAAGCTGTCGGGGATCCTGGAAGGAAACTAGTCGGGGTGTTTGCAACTCAACCCTGAGACTCAGGAGTTGTCCCCTAGGCAAAGCCAGAAACCTAAACCATGTCGGGTTCGCACCTTGGGCAGCTTGGCAAGGCTCAGGCGAGTTGTCCATATACGACTCGCTTTCCCTGGAAAATTGAGAGGCCAAGGCAGCAGAGGGGAAAGCCCTCCAAAGAAACACCGCTGCATTGTAAAAAAACACCTTGCCCCACACCACACCACCAACACCACTTTCCACAGAAGGTTAGTTCCTTTTGCGGGGGAAAAAGTGCCGCAACCCCACCCCACCCCACGCCCACCGTCGCCAAAAAAGGTTAGACCTTTTGCTCCCAAAAAGCCACAGGAGAAAATCTCATCCTCGCGCTAGGAGGAGGAGGTTATGGAGGTCATTTCCCACAGCCCTTGCACCTATCCAAAACGCTAGGAGGAGGTTATGGAGCCCAACGTCATTTGCTACAGCGCAGCCATCAGCGCCTGTGAGAAGGCAGGGCCCGCTCACCGGGACCCTCGCGGGGACGCTCGAGTGAGTTCGGGCGGGGGGGCTGTTTTGGGATTCCGGTTTGTTCTTCCCCCAGCTAGGTGCCCTTTTACCGTTTCTCGGTTGGGAGGGTTCCCCTAATTACTTAAAATAGACTGCAGAAAGAAGGGTACCAACTTATTCCAACCTCTCTACTGGAGGACCTAGTGTTTGTAGGCTGTCTTTAAGCCGAGAAGCTCTGCTACCCCTACCTAAAAATCCTTAGAACATGGCGTCACACGAGGTTGTTTTGAAGAGAAGCCAAAGTGAATTGACTCCAGCTGTCCATTGCGGAGTGCCTGAAAACCCTAAGACACCTGGGAACGACGCATCCCTCGGGTTCCAAAAGGAGTTCTCCAAGAAACCCATAGCTTCCCTGAAGCTCCGATGCACCTGGAAATGAGCAACCCAATCAAAAACACACACAAGAGGGCCATATTAGCTGGTGCGACCAGTTTTACTGTCTTTTGAGTTTCATGCCTGTAGAAAACCAAGCGTCAGCGTGTTTTTTTCGCGCTCACTTGACATGTTTTTTTGCCGGAAAACGGGACAGGTCATGAACCTCCGAGGTTTAAGACAAGCATACGGGTGCCCACTATGGGGAACCATGACCAACAGATTCGCACTGCTCAAATGCGAGACTTGGACACTAAAGTTTAAGGCTGACACCCCAGAGACCTGGCAGGTTTGCATCCCCATAGTAAAACCTGAGCAAAGCCATAACATCCCTTGTATCCCTTTCTGACTTATCCAAAGCCTAGCTCTTGACCTTGCAGTTTGTCCTCCTTGAACCAGTTGTGGCCTCAAAAGGTGTCCGAACCGAGCCGTGAGTTTCAGCAACGCCCATGTCGTTCCCATTGGCCTCCGACTCTAGTTTCGGCGCAGGCCAGAGAGTGGCAACCCGCCCTGCAGTTGCTGGAGGAGATGCGAAAGCGACGGGTGGAAGCCAACGCGTGGCTCGGCTTCAACCCACAGATGCAGTCTCTCCGTGTTTTTCCTTGGCGGGCGATTTGGGACTCGCGTGGTTTTGTGGTCAATGGGTTCAAGTAGACCCAAGGGTGTTTAAACCATATATTTAAACAACTTGTTTTGGATTGCCTTGAGGTGCCGTTGTCCGTTTGTTTCAAAGAAATACCACCATCCCTCAGGTAGCAACCTTATGTGGTGGTTCAAGCAACCTTGTTGTTGGCTTGCCTTCTCGTATTTGTCACAAACAAATCTGAAACCAGGCTTCATGTGGCCGGTGAAAACCGTTTTGGGATCCCATTTTGGTAGGTGACTTCACTCTCCATGTTAGGTTTCCTATTTTAGTAGTTGGATGGGTTGATGTTTAGTGGGGGCTAACCGGGCCTTGGATTTTCGACCCATGGGACCCATGTCTCGGGAAATTTCTCTGCCGCGCTGATGGCCCCGCCCGAGGGTCAGCTTCAACGCGGCCATCAGCGCCTGCGAGAAGTGCCGCTGCTGGCAGCTGGCGCTGGCGCTGCTGTCGGAGCTCCGCCGCCGGCGGCTGGCGGATGCGGTGAGCTACAGCTCCGAGTCCAGCAAAGCAAAAAATGGCTCTGAATTTTAATGGTTGGAAGCCACTCAAAAGTGGGTGGTGGCCGTAAATCCCCACCTAGATGATGTCCACCAAGGGGTCCCTAATTAAAAATCATACCCAAATGGGGAAGTGGAGCCCGGTTGCCTCGTTCGTGGGTGAAGCAATTGGACAAGCACCTGGAGGCCATGCCCCTCAACAAAATAGAGGTCATCTGGCCAAAAGCATCCCGGTCCATAGCAACCGCTGCTTTTAGGTTGCCGTACTTGGAAATTGATCGACGGAAAAGCAGGCAGTGGGAAAAAAACGGGCAAGTTGGGGGGGGTGCTTGTAGGTATGTAATTTCATAAAGCAATGGACAAGCATCTGTGCGCAGAAAAACATGGTTGTCTGGCCAGAAGGGGTCACCCCATGTTCAAAGGGTCATGGAGAGACTATTTGAGCAGTTTGGGTTTTGAGCAATTCCAGCGAAAAAGGGGTACCTGGAAAGACTGATGATCCTTTGCTCGGGTATCCATGTCTAGGTCCGCCAGTAGTGCCCTTTTACCCTTTTCTGGGGGAGGGTTCCCCGACTAAAATAGACGACAGAAAAAGGGTACCCCTTATTCTTCTAACCTCTCTACTGGAGGACCTAGATGTGTTGTTTCTTTCGGAATTGTGAAGTGAAACTAAAGGATTTTTTGAAAACCGATACTCGAAACGCGTAGGTTGCGCTCTCATCCGCACAAACCAAAACAGTTTTTTTTGTTTGCGGAAACCAGTCGAAAGAGCAAGACGTGTGTCCTTTGTGGTTGTCACTTTTAAGAGTTGTAGAATAAGCTATAGTCATCATTGCGAGTAACAACTCTTATTATGTAGCTATTTCGTCCGTTATATCACAGTTGCTTTCCCTCGAGGGTTGGTACTTACAGTACCTATCCCTATCAACTTTTTTGCTCGAGTGTCACAAAATGGGAGAGCTGCACCGAAGTGGCATCCTGCAAGTGGCATGGGCGTGATTTGTTCAATGGGCCACCCCCAGTAGAGGGCACATGGTGTATATGTCCGGCACAGAAACCCCGGAACGAAGTAGGCACGTGTTCCAGTTTGTTCTCACTTATAAAAGTTTCTGTAGGTGGCAAACCCTTTTGGGCCCCCTTTTAGGTGACACCAACAACAAGCCAAGCTTTTGAACGGCCCGTTGCTCACTTGCTCTCGAACTATTTGTTTGTAACTCGGTGTGTTCCTGCTGGAATGGGTGTCTTTTGTTGAGGGTACCTCATTTTTATGGTTTCAAGACTCGTTCCCGAGATGTGGTTCCTTGGTTTCACCTTTCGGGCTGCTTTTTCATTAAGCGGAGGCCAGTCTGACACCGTACCCGCGCGAGTCGAGGTTCTGCGATCAGCGCCTGTGAGAAGTGTTCTCAGTGGCAGCACGCCCTGGAGGAGCACGGGGAATGCCGGGAATTCCTGATCGGTCTCCCGAAATACGAACCCTGCACTCGCCAACCCCGTCGAAAATTCAGAAGGGGTGTTTTTCTGGGTGTGGGGAATCATCACTCTTCTTTTTTTTTTTGGGGGGGGGAGCTCTCGATGGGTTTATCGTTCCGGGGTCAGGATTTCTGATGTTCTCCTAACATTGCCGGATTTTTAAATATTTTTACGGCATCGCAAACTGAGAGGGCAAACTTTAAGTGGTGTTCCTCGTTTCCGATAGGGGAGAAAAGGGTGGGGCTACACACGGCGGATGTCTTTGGATGGTTTTTCGACACCAATGGAAGCCACCGTGGCACTTCCTCTTGAAGGGAGCCCCTGTCAGGTGTAATGGGCAATGTGGGAGTGAGGGTAGTCATGATTTTGCTGGTGCTCAGTAGGGAATGACCGAGTCCGGGTGTTGGGAATGAACAGGAAGGGGATTCCCTCAAACGAAACCACATCGGGGCTGGTGTTTATAGGGGTCATTCCACTCATTCCCTGCCTATCGAACCAGCAAGAATTTAGTCATTGCAACTCACTCCTCGAGTTCATGAACTGTTCCACTTTTGTGGGGTTTCCACCATGTTGTATGGTACACCACCAGTTTGCCTACTTTTTTGGGGCGCCGACCCCCAATCCACATCGAACCACAAGGCGCCCACCTCACCCGTCACCACTCGTCACTCGTCAGGTCCTGGGGCGCCTGGCTCCGCCGGAGGCCTTCGCCTGCGGCGCTGCCATCAGCGCCTGCGGCAAGGCCGCGCAGTGGCGCCAGGCGCTGCAGCTGCTGCGGGCCATGCGCCTCGGCGTTGAAGCGATGCGAGATGCGAGCGGCGAGCAGCGAGGGTGGGGGGGTCGAGCCGCCAGCTAGCTGGGGCGGGTTCGACCGGTTCCAGGGGGGTCCGAGCCATTTATTTTCCCTTGGAACTCCAAGAGTGGGGATCGGTTCAAAGGTAAATGGATCAAAAGTTGAGTTGGGTTGTCCCAGTGGCCCCTGTCAATCCACCAGGTTTTGAGGCTTTCTTCCTACTTTGTGCCAAGCCCTAAGCTGGGACAAGGCAATCCGCAAGATCCTTGGTTCCCGAAGGCTTCGATCCCCTTAGGACCGTGCTTTTCCAACACAACACCTCTGGGCGCAATCGACAGGCAGAAGGAAACCCGGTTTAGCACCAAACTTAGAGCAAAGAAGCCAAAGGCAACCATGGTGGGAAGAAGATCATTTGCCCAAAAGGAAGCCGAAAGTGAGCAGGGGGCCGGAGAGTTTTCCCCTGGCACTTGCTATCTGCCGGCGCAACAACGCGGGGCGGGGGGGGAGGAGCGGGGGTGGAGGCCAGTCGACTCGCAGGCACGCCTCGGAAGTCACGGCGGATGTGGTGTGCTACAGTGGCGCGGTCTCCGCTTGCGAGTGTCTCGGAGTCCGAAACCGATCCGAGGTCGCGTTGGAAGGCTCAGGGGAGACCTGCGGTTGCATATTCTGGGTGCGTCATTGTTTGATGGACCCCCCCCAAAAAAGCGGTTTTCCTCATGGTTTCCCTTCAGAACCAACCAAAAGGGCCCCCAATAAAAAGAAAGACTCAAAGCGAATCTTGTTCCTTTCGATAATCCGACACCACTTGTGGTTTTCTTTAGGATCCCTTGGTTCATTCTCAGTTTTCCGGTTGATTCCCCACTGAGAACACGCAAGTCTCGGGCAGTTGTGGCTCATTGGGTGTGCGTTTCCTCCAGCAAAGCTTCAGGGTTTGCCCTTGAATCCCCTCTGGGGATCGGAGCAGTGCGAGGCTTCTGGTTGCTTAGGGAAAGCAAGAGCAACAGCACCACCTGGTGTTTGCAACCAGCCACACAGCCATGGGGTCCTTTTTGCCAACGGCTTTGGTTGACATCCCGCAGCCAAAGCTGTAAGGTGACAGGAATCAAATCAACGCTCTGGTTGCTCAACGTTTGAAGGAGAGGATCGATTTTTTCGGCCTCGCAGCTGGCTTACTTGTCATCTCCTAAGGCTCCGTTTGATCTCTCATGGTTTCCATTGATTCCAGAAAGGAGAGCCACAATCGGAAGCGCCATTGCAGCCTTCGGCTATGGAGAATGGCTCTCCTTGCTATGGACTCTCCTTGCTATGGCTCTGGACCAGTATTGGACTAGCTGGAGTGTACATGCTCACCATCTTTCTCTGTATATGCAAATATCTTCTTGGTGCTCAACAAGATATGAAGGAAACCATAGGGGATGCCATTTCTAGGGGGTCATTCCAACTCATTCCCCGCCTATCGAACCAGCAAGATGTACACACAGTAAGGGTAGAGCTCATCGGGCCTGGAGGAGAGGGAGGGGAGGGTGGGGAAGGAACACAAATAAGCCCTTATAAAGCCCTTAAGGCCTTAGGGCTTATTTGGGCTCCCTCCCCCCTCCCCTCCCTCCCCAGCACCCCATGAATAGCAGATCCTTTCTGATTGCCTCACTCAGGAAGGGCCACGCTTTGCAGCCTGCCTTGGCGTTGCTGCGCGACATGCGATCTCGCAACTGTGAGCTGGACGCCATCAGCTGTAACGCCGCTCGGAGACGGTGCCCCCTTTGTTTAAACATGTGGTTGCGTGTCTTTAAGAGTGCCCTCGTTTTTCAATGGGTGCGAGTCTTTTTGAGGGGAGCCTTTTTTGTCGGCCTTTCAAAAAGGAACCAACAAGCAACACCACATGTCTGGACCAACATATATTTGTATGGCTAGCATATTTTTGTTTGGGGTGCCATTTTGGGGAGGTCCTTTCCTTGCAAAACCATGACAATTAGGGGAGCTGGGTGGTTGTTGGTGGTTGTTTGTGGTTTCCCCTTACCACTCCAAACAGTGTCGAATCCTGTTGGCCAACTTGGGCGGGACGTGGATCTCTTTTCTGCCGGCCCTTCTGGCGAAGAAGGCGCTCACCGCTTTTTCGGAGCGACCGCTGTGAGCAATTTACGCCACAAAAAACGCCAGGCGCCCGGCGCGAAGTCTTGAACTCCCCTTTTTCCTCCGTTTCCTGGAGCCCGACGAACAAAGACACTTCCTTGACGGGAAGTACAGTCGAAGTCTGGCCGGGGTGTAGACCATTTTGTTTGGAGGCTGAGACCTCAAAGCTAGTTTAGTTCAAAAGACTCTGTACATGCCCCTGAAATGCCACGCCAACTTTCCCAGCATCCCCAGCATTCCTGCAGTAGGCCTCCAGCATCCCCGGCATCCCCGGCATCCTGCCAACCTTCCACACAGGCCCCCTCAAATAGCCCCCATGGAAAGCGGACACGGCGGGGATGCTTGCGAGCAAGCGCACCGGGTTCCCGCCAAAGTGGCGCAGTCGCCATTACGCAGAAAAACATCGAATCCCGTGGTTGCTTAGCCAGTTTTCACAGGTTGTTCGGTGCTTGCCAGGGGATGCCGGCAGCGGTCTTCGCCTCACTGAGTTTTCGATGTGCACTTGCGCAGCGCGCACGCGTGCGGGCGCGCGCTGGCGTGAGCGCGTGCCCGCGGATACTCCCCTGCCATCAAGCAACAACTGCTTTTTTCCTGTGCCCAACATCCCAAGTCCGGAACAAGCACAGGAAAAAGCAGTTGGTTCCGAGGGTGCTGCTTCCCAGGTTGAGGGTTGCTGGTCATTTTCGGTGCGGAGTCGATGGGTCGATGGTCGATGCGAAGGCTGTGATCAGCGCCTGCGAGAAACGAGCCGACTGGCGCTGGGCCTTCGAGCTGCTGATGGAGAAGCGCAGGCGAGGCGAGTTGCAGGCAACTTGGAGGTGCCCTACCTAGGTCCCCAGCGATCGGTGCCCTTTTGCCGTTTCTTTTTTGGGGTTTGGGCTCCCCTACTGAAATAGACTACAGAAAAAAGGCTACCCCTTATTATAACCTCTCTACTGGAGGACCTAGCTACCAGAGGAAACAGCTGGAATCCAGAGGGCCAGCTGGACTTTAGTCACTTGTTTGGCTTGGACCATTGAACCATTTTGTCGGTGAGTTCAAACATCACCAGTTTTCTTGGGTTATTCCGGTGGACAGCAAGACTGACTCCCTGAGTTCCTGGACTTGATCGTCACTGCTTTTGGGTGGAGTGCTTTGGTAGGATACATTGCCAGAAGACCAATTTAGTGGTAAGTAAAGACAGCCCACCTCATGGGGTTGGGGTTAGAGTTAGCATTAGACTTGGTTTTGAATATCAACCTTTGTGTTGCAAGAATCCCAATACTCACTCCCTGCGTTCCGGGACTTTGGTCGATTTGTTGGTTTGGACCAGTTTAGTTGTAGACAATCGGTTTGGTTACTTTTCTGAACCAGATCTGTTCACCGTTACGTTCCCCATTTTTTTATATTTTCCCCACGGTGATCACCTTGTATTTCTGGGTCCAAACTACCTGATTTGGTCGTTTGGTTGAGGTTTTAAAGGGAGACCGACAGGAAAACGCCTTGCGAATCTTCTGAACTCACCCTTGGGGTTGGCTGACGAAGCCAACCGTTAATTTGGTTCGGTACGATGCAAGTTAACCCCAAAAAACAAAAGGGGGGGGTCATGAGCTCCCATTGTTTTCATTGCCCTTTCAGGAAAACCCGGTGGTTGGGATTGGTGATGAGTTGGATTTGAAGCCCTGGTTTTTGTAGAGGGTGTATTTAAAGAACCCCCACAACACCTCCAAACCAGTCCAAACCCACCCTTTTTGAGTGAAGATGTTCCCTTCGACACGGTAAGTTACTCGGGGTTCGATTTTCTCTCTGCTCGTTTTACACATCCCCGTTTGGTGGCCAAGTTAAAGGGATCAAGTTTTCTTTCAGGGTGCGGTTTTGAGGGGAAATATAGCAGACAGGGAACCTGTTTGCAGGATGGACCCTCAAGCTATCACCGAGATTTGGAATGGGTAGAAAGGGGCCATCGAGTGCGATCGAGATTGTTTTTCTCAAAATGGGATTCGGACCTTGGTATTGAAGGGAAGCCAAAGGGAGCAGCTCCTGCCATTTGAAGGGTATTTTGAGAATACCCAGGCAGTGAAAGTTTGGGTTCGGGGCGATCCTGGGGCCAGGCAGGGCGCGGGGGCAAATATGTTTCGCCGAGGATAGTTCTTGGTGTGTCGCTTTTTAGCGCACCCCGCACAATGGTGGTGTTCCTTGTGGTTTCCGTTGAAAACCAGCAAACCGCGGTACTATCTTTGTGCGTTCCTGGGAGTGTCTTCTAAAGTTCCTGGACTACTTAAATCATTATGGAACCCCATTGGGGGGGTCTATTTCCTCAAAAAAGATTCCTCCATGAGGGTTTGTTGGGTTCCGTTTGTTCCTCGGAGAATGTTGAGGTGCTGGGGTTGTCGCTTTGAGCTTGTTGTTTGTTTCTTGTGAAACCAAACAAGCCACCCAGTTTGAAATTGAAGTCACTTGCTGCCAGGTGCAGCCTCACGAGGACGGACCCGCAGTTCGGGAGGGCGTTGGAATGGGACTTTTTGTGACCACCTCAGGGGGAAAAAAACAACTCAACAAGTGATACCCCTTCCAGCACCTGGGTTCATAGCAGCCACTGCTGTTTGGTTTCCGTACCAAGGGGATTTTGGACACGGGAAGAAGTGGTGGTTGGAGGTACTGGTTGTTGGGAAGCTGGTGATTGGTATCTTGGTGTTCGATGCGAAACACTGGCACCCTCTGCATGTTGGGGATCCTTTCGAAATCCATCCGGAAGTGAACCCAAGCCAATCAAGGGGCAGCATAGTTCGGCTGCCCCGCATAACCCCCCGAGCGTCAAGTGCTTTTCGGTGGGCATGAGTCCATGGCTGAAACAGGCATAAGGTTGTCCATTCAGATGAACCTGAACTCACCAAACCAAAGCCCCGAAGCTCATTTTGGATGGGAATCAGTGCAAAGAACCCATGTCTGAATAGAGAGCCCATAGGGTTGTCCCATTCTGGATGCCATCCTTTTTGCCTTTGGAAAAGACCCGCGCATCGACGGATATGGCCATGGGTCAAAATCCCTTACACCCAGTGAGCATTTCAAATCCTTACTAAAATAGGTTCTAGAATGGGTGGTACACCTACCAACCAAAATGGTACCATTGGTTTTGACTCACAGCCATTTGGGGATTTAGGACAAAGAGCCATGTCTACACAGATGCTTGCGTTCAGATCCATTCCTTTCCGCTCTGGCCGGGTGGCGTTTCTCGAAATAGGAATCGGTCCGTGTCCGAAGATGGCGTTTCGGTTGTTTGCCTTCTTGAAACCCAAAAGGGGGCCTCCACCCAAGGTTTAGTGGATGCAACCCAACGTGGATACTGGAGTTTGGGCGTGTTTCCGAAAACTTGGTGTGCCTTGAGATAGCTAAACCTTTCAAGGGGATTCTGCGATTCCCGAATCAAGGAAACCAGCAGTTGGATGGTTTGTCTCGGGGTCATTGCGTGCTGAGCAGTCCGTTTGGTTCACTGAACGATCGACGCAGGGACGTGGTGGGCCCCAGCGCGGCGGTGAGCGCCTGCGAGCGCCCTGCCTAGCAACTGGCGAGAGGTGAGCTGCAACCCATGGCCCGGATTTAGACTCGAGTTCCGTTTCGGGCTGGAGCGTCACTTTTATTTTTATTTATTTTTTTCGGGGGGGGGGGGGGGGGTTGGGACCATTTCAGTGAGTAAATATAAAAATATGGTGACTTTATTTCGGTTTTGGGCCATCTCTCAGGAAGTGATGGATTCAGGGGATGGATGCAATGATGCTAGCCTGGTTCTCCGGGCTTGGGTTCACAAAGAAGAGTCCATGGGGTGCAACTTCCAGCACCCAACACGTCGTCTGTTTCAAGCAGAGGTTGGGACGGTGGCAGGTGTTTAACGGTTCTATGCGGCATTCCTGGGTCTGTCTTGCTTTGAGGGGAACATATCCATTTTGCGGGTTCCTCAGCAAAAAACAACCCCCTTTCCCGAACAAACTCACTTCCTGGGTGGATGGCCCAAAACCGGAAAAAATACTTTGTATATTTACCACCCAACATTTCCCCTATTTTGACCACGAACCCAGTTTAGGGGTCACATTGACCCAGCCATTGTTTACGGGAGTTCAAATTCCAGGGTTCCCAGGAGGGAGAGGTCCCCTCATGTTGACACGAGCCCAGCTTTTGATGGTTCTTCTAAGCATCATGGAGCCTGCATTGGAGAGGTCGTTTCGGACATCCATTTCAAGGGCCCTCTGATTCTGAGGGTAAAACGGTTTGACCCAATTTGAATCCCAGGTTTGAAACAGGCATAAGGTTGTCCATTAAGATGAGCCTGAACTCACCAAACCAAAGCCCCGAAGCCCATTTTGGATGGGAATCAGTGCAAAGAACCCATGTCTGAATAGCGAGCCCATAGGGTTGTCCCATTCTGGATGGGATCCTTTTTGCCTTTGGAAAAGCCCCGCGCATCGACGGATATGGCCATGGGTCAAAATCCAAATCGTACCCCCAGTGAACATCCCAATCCCCACTAAAATAGGTTCTAGAATGGGTGGTACACCTACCAACCAAAAGGGGTCCCCAAACGGTTTTGACCACCACAGGTATGTGGGAAAGATCTGGGGAACCCAAGAACACCCCATTTTTGCCAGTCCAACCCCCAAAAAAGACAGCCATATACTTTGTTTTCCCACTGAGGAAGGCCAAAGAGTGGCTCCCGGCCTTGCAGCTCCTTGCCCAGCAGGCGAAGGAAGTCTGTTCGACGCGGGTGTTGCGGTTGGGGCATCCGTTGCACATGTTTTTAAAGGGAAATTGGGGTCCCTGTCCCCCTTTGACACATAGCCGGTTGGCATGTTTTGCCTGAGGTTCTTCGTTCTGTTTTCTTTTTTCTTGTGTGGGAGGGAGGTGGGGGACTTTTGTTATCTGTCGTTTTTTGGGAGGGCCCTTTGGAGGAGTGCTTCCCCTTTCCTTTTGGAGGAGGTTGGGTGAATTGTTCCCCGCCCCCACCTGCACCAAGTTTCAGGCCCGAAAAGGGTTCCAGGATTTCAGTCCTAATAGCTAGATTTCGATTGGAGGCGTTGCTTGCCAGTGAAATTCATGTTGCTTGCAACTCATGGTTCAACCACGCTCGATCGAAGCCTTTCAGGATGCGAAGGAAAAACCGTTGTGCCCTTCTTCCCTTGGGGCCAATCAGGAGAGTAATGCAAATGAGAAGAGCACCCGGGTCGCAACCTCTGGGATGTTCGACATGAGAAAACGCGTTCATCGTGGGGCACTGGTAGGTATCGCTTTGGTTCGTTGTGGGCTTTGATGTAATGGCTTTGGCAGCTTGGCATGGTAAGTTCATTGGTGAGTTTTCTGACCGGGTGATCTCGAACTGGTAGATCTAGGGAGGCCCCCTGTTTGGACCCTGTATGATGCCGGGCTCCTGTTTTTGACAACCGCCCCGTTGGGAATATGTGAAAGCTGTGTTTGGTTGACAAGGCTTGCATGAATTCCAATGAAATCTTACTTGGTCAAGCGAAATTGTTTTGGCCAAATATCCCGAACATTGACTGGATTTGGACACTTGCAAACGTGAGGCATGGTGGTTTGATGCAATCACAGACCCGCATATGTTTTCACAAGCTCAATGGAAAGACGACGAATGCCAGGATGCTGGCGCAGGTCGCCTCCTTTCAAAGCCTCCAATCTGGCTGTCGCTTGGGGTTGCGTGTCCTATTTAATGGGAAGACTTGAACAGGGCAGACCACCAGGATTCCGTTCTTCTTGATTCCCAGGTCGACCTAAACCCCGGAAAATCCTCGCTTAGGAGGGAGAAATCAAGTCTACCTGACGGGAATCCAAATTGAATCCCTGCTAAGTTTTCCTTTGACAAGCCAAAACAGGTTCAGGGTGTACCAGTCGATTCATTCCTTGTGCACTTCACCTGTTTGAAAGAGGATGATGTTTTAAAGTGGTTAGAAAGTAATTTTGCGATTTATTTTAATTTCTGGAGCACCTTGAACATTTTTTTTTTAGCTCTCATTGCCTGCCCTTCGGCCCTTTTGGCTCTTTTTCATTGTCCCGCGTTTTAACCAGCAAGAGCCTGTTGGTGTCGTTTGAGCCTCCCTTTAAAAACAACCAGAAAGATGTCCCGAGCTCTGAGAGGTGTACCTGGACACCATCATGTGCAATGCCGCCATCAGTGCATGCGAGAAGTGCATTGAATGGAGGCTGGATTCGAATTCCGGTTGGGTGCTTCTCAAACTAGAGGTCTCAGAATGGCAAGGGTTTGACCCTTGCTACTGGCTTCTCTTTAAAGATCACAATTAAAGAGTGCGGAACACGCGGCTCTCCAAAAAAACCAACTATGGCCCTTCTCTCCCAAAAAACAACTATGGCCCTTGTGGCTGGGTTTTCCGTGAGTCCGAATGGACTCCTTGGTCAAGAGCCTAGACTGAGCTCAGTCACCTGTTGGCCCTTTTGGGTTTGGGTCATTTTGGGTGTTCCTGTTTTTGTGGGTACCCTTTCCGGTTGGACAGGAAAACTGAAATCCATTTTGTGGGTCTAAAGGACAAGACGAGCCCATCTTGTCCGACCGGGGCCCGGGGCCCTTTGTCGGATCCGTTCGGCTTCGCCACTTAAGCGATTCGGGTGGAGTAACGGCAGCCCCAGAAGCAGGGGTTTGAACCGCTAACCCCCGCCCCGTTTTCTTTTCTTCTTCTTCTTCTTCTTTGGAAGGGGGGAAGGGTTGGGCGATTCACTTATCCCTGGAAATAAGACATGTTCTATAGTTCCAAGACATGTTCATTGCTGGTTTTACTCAGAGAACGAATTGCATGCATCTAGTTTTGGGTGAGCTCTTGCCATGGCCACACATTTTATGTGGCAAAAAGAGCCTTTCATTTCTGGTTCATGGGATTTGGGTGGATTCCCGCCCGGACCCAAGACCCGGAATATGGCGACCTTTGAACCCCCAGAGACCTCAAATAGTAACGTTTAGGGTCCCTAGGGCAGGCTTTGTTTGTGGCTCGGAGAAGTCTTGGCGCGGACATCTATCAGCTCATTGACTCGTGCCCCACTTATCTGGGTATGCCGTTGTGTTGCCAGAATAATTAGCCGGTCGGCTGATTGCTTCAGAGGTTTCAAGGCCACATGCTGTTTGTCTCAAAATTGGGGAACCCAAAATGCGTTCTTTCCTTTTGGCCTTTGGATACCAGCCAGCCAAAGCTGGCGGTGTGCGGCTTCCCCTTTTCACAGGGCAGCCCATGGGCTGCTTCGATCTTTCCGTCTGCAACGAAATGTGACCTTTGCTTCTCCAAGGTTTTTTGGTTTCCTGTCGGGTAAGAAAAGCTCACCAGGGTTTCAGCCTTTTGGTGTCCTAGGTAATGGAGCCCCCTGAAAATACGGGCGGGGCACCCAGTTCCTTAGGTAAAGGGTGGTTATCTCACTTCCGGAGTTCCGTTTCAGACTGGATCCATGTTGTTAAACAATGGTTTCTTGACTTTTTCTGGGCCAATCCGCGGAAGTGAGCGAAACCAATGGGTTTTTTGTGACCCCAACGGCTGTTGTGGTGAGCTGAATCCCAGGGTTTCCTGTCGGACCGATCCAATGCCTCGGTTGCTCCTTAGCGACGCGATCGCCTGGCTTTGAGCTGGGGCCTTTGTCTTTTAGGTGTCCAACACAACTTGTTCGAGCGGGGGGGGTCCTTATGTCCGTTAATTATAGAATTCGCAGATGCCAGTGGCTCCAACTGAACGAATGATTCCGGCTTCTTTCAATGGACTGCCCGAACTGGTCCAACAAAAAGGTGGATTCGTTTGAAGGAAGTTGCCCTTCTGGACTGGTGTTGAGGGGCACAATAGTTGCACACACTACTTCCATTTGCTGAAGAGTACTGTTAAACAGTACTGGTTTCAAAGGGAATGTGTTACTACTGGATTTTTACTTACCGGACTTGAGCAGATGGAGCATGTTCTTCTGACTATGATTCTAATCGTGTTTGAGAGTTGATTGCAACCCCATTCTATGTAGTCCAAAGGTTCTGAACATTTCTGAGCAGGGAATGTCAGTTCTGGAAATGAAACTAGGGATCCCCCAGCCGTAAATTGCTTGTTTTTGTTTGTCTCATGCCAGCTCGTTCCCTACCTTTCGAACCAGCAAGCAAAGCTGGGTCTCCTTTTTGTTTTGTATGTTAGGGTAGGCCAAAAATAAAGGATCGCCATCCAACCGTGTCATTTTCCCAGCATTTCAGTGGGCCGGCCCTTCTCGGAGACTCGAGACTTGGGGGGGGGTCCCGGCGAGGTGGGCGGTGCGTTTACTGGGTGCGGTGCACGACTTCAGCCTGCAGCCAGATGCGGTGGGCTGGGGCCTGAGGAAATCATTTCTCCGGCGAATCCGAAAGGCCGTGAGCATCTTTTTCAAGCCATTCCCAGGGGTCCGGACAGGGGTTCCTTTTCCCACTTGCCCTGTGGATTCCGTCCTTTTGTCGATTTTGTTTTGGGAAGGGTTCCCCTTTAAACTCAACCAAACCAAAAAGGATACCTTTTGGGCAGTGCTTGAAATTTAGGACATAGGTTTCCGAGCCATTTCCCTTTTTCGGAAACTTCACAAGAAGCGATCGTTTCAATGGACACCGCCAGTAAATTGATCAACTGTTGATTGGGAAATTCCAGTGACCCCTGCTCCTTGGGTTCAAACGACAGTTTTCAATTGCTGTTTGAACAACACATATCTTATTCAGTATCCGGGTCCCAACCACTGCTGTGGGGACCGTACATGGGATTTTGGACGTGGTTGGAAAACAGTTATTGGGGGGCATAGGATAGCTGTATCTACCTATGACTTGACAATTTAGAAGTGAGTGGTTTCTCAAAGGAATGATCGAAGTATTGGGCGAGATCAAGATTTGGAACAATCAACAGTCGGGCGCGGATATCCGCCCTTTGGATTTGTTATGTAGCTTTTGTTTTGGGTGGACTTACTAGAAAATGGTTAATTGTGAACGCAGGTCAAACATGATTGGATCCCATGCCAATCGTTTTCTGTTAGTTCCCTAAATTGAAGCAGGTCCAGGGCATCCCAAATTCTCAGACACCCCATTTTGAGAACTGACACGTGCGACCGACCGTATCAAAGACAAGAGCACAGGCTTCCTGCCGGAACTAGACTGGGCCAAACGAATGGAAAGGTTCATTTGCCCCGGAGGAAAGGACCTTCAATTCATGCAGCGAGAAAGCCGCGTCGCTTTCAGGTTTCAACGCAGCCATCAGCGCGCCGGGGGCTTAACACTGTAGGTTTCGTTGGCTTTGGCTTTCACCAGGGAAACTGCTGGTGTTTGAAGAGAGCATGGGAGTGTTGGTGAATGAACACAGGGTTGATAGGGGCTGCAACCCATGTCCTTCACGTTTGTTGGGGGGGGGGTTGCAACGCCCTAATTTCGACTTTTCCCGGTTGATGGGGCCGTGGGGTCAACATGTCAAGTTGGGCTCAATGAGAGGAAAGCCAAGCACCGAGCATGTCTCACAATCCAGGGATGGGTTTGTCTCCAAGGGGACCTCCAGACATGGCTTCTGATTTTTTGATTCCCTTTAGTTCAAACCAACCTTCCCCGCAAGGGTACCCTCAAATTGCCCTTTTGTTGGCTACATTCGCCTAAAGGGTCTTCTGGGCACATCCCCAAAAAGAAACCGGCGGCACATGTCCCATCGCTCAAGGTGTGAGCGAGAAGAACGCCCATCGCCTGCTTTCGGGGGGTGAGGACAGCGATTCGAGTAGCATCGTTCTGTGGCTCCAGCTCTTTCATTCACTCTCCAGAGTTGTTCGTCCCATTTTGCAACTCCTGTCTTTCCTTCCGAACACATTTGACAATTGGCCCAATGCTGGTTGACTTTGGCTATGAGTTTCAGACTTCGAACCACCTCCCAAGTGGTTACAGACATGAATTCCCGCCTAAATGAGTGTGTCTTTTTTGAGGCACCTCCATTTTGGTTGGTGTTTTCAAGGGAAGCCCAAAGGAGAACTGAAGACACACAAGTCCCCGACAAAAAGGCACCCCCCAATTCAGGTTTCTTCCACAAGACCTTGCCGCTTGCGTTTCTTTGCTTTTCTTTCCTTCCAACCCCACATTCGTCGGCGGATTCTTGGCTGGATGTGTCACCTTTACTCGTTGGGGAACATGTTTAACCATCCACCTAGCCAACCGAACACCCAACCACCTAGTTTTGTCACATATAAGCAACCAAACCCAAGCCTCAAATATTGCAAGTGTCAACCAACCACCAAACCGAACCTCTGTAAGTTTCAACCCCAACCCACACCTCACCCCTGGATTTTCCTCCGGCCGCTTCGTGGCCGCCGCTTCCGAGCGGCGGAACGGCTCGGCAGGAGCCGAGGTGCGAGAACGCGGCACGCTGGCGGCGGAGCCTGGCCCTGGCGGAGTTCGGCGACGGCGGGGAGATCACGCTGGGGGCGATGGTGAGCGCCTGCGAGTGCCGCGGCGGAGAAAGCGCTTGCGAGCTGTGGGGAGACATGAGGGTGGATGTGCTCGCTCGGGATGTGTGGGGCTTGGAGGAAACCACGATTTTTGTTTTTTCAGAAAGGGGTCCGCCGTTTTTACACATAGCGATGAGATCAAAAAGGCCCTTGAAAATGGCTTGGGGTAGAGATGGTCATGAACCTCTTTGTTTAGACAAACAGTGTGTAGGTTAGCGTTGTGGAACCTGCTGTGTTGTTCAACATCAATTAATCTATCAACCCTTAAGTTCACAAATCCCTTCTGAACCCTGCCAGAGGGTAGTGGCTCTCTTGTTTATCGATCTGCCATATTGAAGCCATCCAGTGGAAGATGGACGTGGAGTACTAGGGGTCATTCTTGGGGTGTGTTCCGTTTCCATTATTTTCAACCTGCGTTGCTTTGTTACCCTGAGCCGGAGGATGTCTCTGCTGGGCGGAGGGCCTCGAGCTGGGCCCGAGAGCATTTGGTGTTTGTACGTTTTTTTTCATCCAAAAACTATTTGGGTCTGTGGCCAATGGCTTTTGGCTTGTTTTGGCTTGTTTTGGCTTGAAAGGATTCGGCCTCCATTTGGCGCATTCCCCGTGGATGAAACGGTTCTTGGACCTGTCTGATCAAAAGATCCAGGCCTTCGCTTTGTGATAGCCAAAAGGTGAACGATCAGGTCCTGACTCGGCCCAGATGTGTCCCGCTCATGGGGTTTAATTGGGAGTCCACCTTGGCTAAACCCCTTACCCTTCCCACAGATCTCACCCTGAAAGCTTCAAACCCTCCTTTGACTCCTTAGGACTTTGAGTTTCAATAGATGTGACGCCCCTTTTGGTTTCGAAGTGGGGTCCAACTTCTACGGCTTCGGGTGTCCACCGCTGGTTGCCCCAAAACCTGGCGTTGGGGACTTCCGCGAGCGCCGTTGCGCCCGCCAACGAGGAAGGCGCGGCAGTGGCGCGCCGCGCTGGACCTTCTGCGGCGCGTCCGCGCGAACTTCGGCCTGGTACCGGGGATCATAAGCCCGGGGCCCCGGGCGGAGAAAAACGCGGGGCTCTGACTCGAGAACCTGGGTTCGTGGTTTTTTTGGAGGAGACCCCCAAACAAACGGATCGAAGGTTCTTTTTTTTTTAGACCCCAAAAGTTTGTTGGGATTTTTTGGGGGATCGAAGGTTCTGTTTTTTTGAGACCCCAACAGTTTGTTTGGATTTTTGGGGGATCGAAGGTTATTTTTTCTTTAGACCCCAAAAGTTTGTTGGGATTTTTGGGGGGATCGAAGGTTCTGTTTTTTTGAGACCCCAACAGTTTGTTTGGATTTTTGGGGGATCGAAGGTTCTTTTTTCTTTAGACCCCAAAAGTTTGTTTGGATTTTTTGGGGGATCGAAGGTTCTGTTTTTTTGAGACCCCAACAGTTTGTTTGGATTTTTGGGGGATCGAAGGTTCTTTTTTCTTTAGACCCCAAAAGTTTGTTTGGATTTTTTGGGGGATCGAAGGTTCTGTTTTTTTGAGACCCCAACAGTTTGTTTGGATTTTTGGGGGATCGAAGGTTCTTTTTTCTTTAGACCCCAAAAGTTTGTTTGGATTCTCGGGAGATCGAAGGTTCTTTTTTCTTTAGACCCCAAAAGTTTGTTTGGATTTTTGGGGGATCGAAGGTTCTCTTTTCTTTAGACCCCAAAAGTTTGTTTGGATTTTTTGGGGATCGAAGGTTATTTTTTCTTTAGACCCCAAAAGTTTGTTTGGATGTTTGGGGGATCGTAGGTTCTGTTTTTTTGAGACCCCAACAGTTTGTTTGGATTTTTGGGGGATCGAAGGTTCTTTTTTCTTTAGACCCCAAAAGTTTGTTGGGATTTTTCGGGGGATCGAAGGTTCTGTTTTTTTTGAGACCCCAACAGTTTGTTTGGATTTTTGGGGGATCGAAGGTTCTTTTTTCTTTAGACCCCAAAAGTTTGTTGGGATTTTGGGGGGGATCGAAGGTTATGTTTTTTTGAGACCCCAACAGTTTGTTGGGATTTTTGGGGGATCGAAGGTTCTTTTTTCTTTAGACCCCAAAAGTTTGTTTGGATGTTTGGGGGATCGAAGGTTATTCCCGAAAGCATGGCGAAGGGTTCTTCCGCTGGGTTCACTTGAGTTGTTCTCATGAGAGTCATTACAAGGTGTCATTGCAAGGAATCATCATCATGAAAGTCAATGCAAGGAGTCATTGCAAGGAGTCATTGCAAGGAGTCATTGCAAGGAGTCATTGCAAGGAGTCATTGCAAGGAGTCATTGCAAGGAGTCATTGCAAGGAGTCATTGCAAGGAGTCATTGCAAGGAGTCAAGGAGTCATTGCAAGGAGTCATTGCAAGGAGTCATTGCAAGGAGTCATTGCAAGGAGTCATTGCAAGGAGTCATTGCAAGGAGTCATTGCAAGGAGTCATTGCAAGGAGTCATTGCAAGGAGTCATTGCAAGGAGTCATTGCAAGGAGTCATTGCAAGGAGTCATTGCAAGGAGTCATTGCAAGGAGTCATTGCAAGGAGTCATTGCAAGGAGTCATTGCAAGGAGTCATTGCAAGGAGTCATTGCAAGGAGTCATTGCAAGGAGTCATTGCAAGGAGTCATTGCAAGGAGTCATTGCAAGGAGTCATTGCAAGGAGTCATTGCAAGGAGTCATTGCAAGGAGTCATTGCAAGGAGTCATTGCAAGGAGTCATTGCAAGGAGTCATTGCAAGGAGTCATGAGAGTCATTGCGAGCTGCGCATGGAGTCAAGTGCAAGTTGCAAGTGCAAGGAGTCAAGGTGCAAGTTGCAAGTGCAAGTGGAGTCAAGTGCAAGTTGCAAGTGCAAGGAGTCAAGTGCAAGTTGCAAGTGCAAGGAGTCAAGTGCAATTGACTTGCGAGGAGTTAAAATCTCTTCTTAGGGCGGCGGGGTAGTGCCGACGACACTACACGAAAATCGACCCTCTGCGGGGATCGGCGTGGTCGAGGTGCAAAAACCCATGGTTTTTTGCGATTTCTAAAGTTCCCGCGCGACCCTCTGCGGGGATCGGCGTGGTCGAGGTGCAAAAACCCATGGTTTTTTGCGATTTCTGCATGCTCGCGCGACCCTCTGCGGGGATCGGCGTGGTCGAGGTGCAAAAACCCATGGTTTTTTGCGATTTCTGCGTGCCCGCGCGACCCTCTGCGGGGATCGGCGTGGTCGAGGTGCAAAAACCCATGGTTTTTTGCGATTTCTAACATGCCCGCGCGACCCTCTGCGGGGATCGGCGTGGTCGAGGTGCAAAAACCCATGGTTTTTTGCGATTTCTGCGGTGCCCGCGCGACCCTCTGCGGGGATCGGCGTGGTCGAGGTGCAAAAACCCATGGTTTTTTGCGATTTCTGCGGTGCTCGCGCAACCCTCTGCGGGGATCGGCGTGGTCGAGGTGCAAAAACTCGAGGTTTTTTGCGACTTTTGTTGTTCGAACTGGTCCTCGGGAGTTGTCTCGTGGTTCGCGCGCCTGCTCCCGGAACCGGCGGGTCGCGGGTTCGATTCCTCCCTGGTCCGCGGGCGGGCGTCGCAAGATGCAACTTGCATTTTAAAGCAACTTGCGCAGAGCAACAGAGCAACTTGCGCAGACCAACTTGCACCGACCAGTTTGCGCAGAGCGCCTTGCCTAGAGCAACTTGCGCAGAGCAACTTACGCAGAGCAACTTGCACAGAGCAACTTGCACAGCAGCTTGCACACAGAGCAACTTGCAGGGAGCGCAATTTGCACAGAGCAACTTGCAGGGAGCCACTTGCAGGGACCAACTTGCCGGAGCAACTTGCGCGGAGCAACTTGCGCAGAGCAACTTGCACAGTGCAACTTGCGTAGAGCAACTTGCGCAGACCAACTTGCACCGACCAGTTTGCGCAGAGCACCTTGCCTGGTGCTGTCTTGCGCTTGCTTCACAAATGCTTCGTGTAGGGATGCAGCGTTGGGCCGACCTCGCTTGCGATGTTCTGCTTTCGGGCCAACCGTGGTCTAGTTTTTTCTTTAGACCCCAAAAGTTTGTTGGGATGTTTGGGGGATCGAAGGTTTTTTCTTTAGACCCCAAAAGTTTGTTGGGATGTTTGGGGGATCGAAGGTTCTTTTTAGACCCCAAAAGTTTGTTTGGATGTTTTGGGGGATCGAAGGTTCTCTTTTGTTTAGACCCCAAAAGTTTGTTTGGATTTTTGGGGGATCGAAGGTTCTTTTTTTTAGACCCAAAAGTTTGTTTGGATTTTTGGGGGATCGAAGGTTATTTTCTTTAGACCCCAAAAGTTTGTTTGGATTTTTGGGGGATCGAAGGTTCTCTTTTGTTTAGACCCCAAAAGTTTGTTTGGATTTTTGGGGGATCGAAGGTTCTTTTTTTTAGACCCAAAAGTTTGTTTGGATTTTTGGGGGATCGAAGGTTATTTTCTTTAGACCCCAAAAGTTTGTTTGGATTTTTGGGGGATCGAAGGTTCTCTTTTGTTTAGACCCCAAAAGTTTGTTTGGATTTTTGGGGGATCGAAGGTTCTTTTTTTTAGACCCAAAAGTTTGTTTGGATTTTTGGGGGATCGAAGGTTATTTTCTTTAGACCCCAAAAGTTTGTTGGATTTTTTGGGGGATCGAAGGGGAACAACCCAGAATTGAAAGATTGAGAGAAATCCGATTGATTTTCCAAGATGGGTTTCGGATTTCCTTTTGGCCTCCCTTTAAACCAACCGCAAGAGGGGTATTGTGTCTCGCAAAACAGGGGACCACGGTGCCTTCTCGGTTTCCGTTTAAACGCCCAGAAAGTTAGGCCTGGAGTTTTAGTTGAATGCTAGCAGTTGCTTGTCTGTCAGCTCAAACCTCCTGCTATCACTCACGACAGTTGCTCAATCCAAGCTGTAAGCATACCCGGTGAAACCCTGTTGCCGCTATAGTAAGCGAGCCTTCGCCACGTTCCTCTCTTGGCTTTAAAGGGTACAACAATTTCCCACATCATACCCCAGGTTGGGATTTGTTGAAAACCGCAAAACTAACCAAAGGACGCTTCAAAGGAGGCCTGACAAGGGAAAGTTGAAAGTGCCCTTTGATCATTTGGCTAAGGGGCAGTTTTGGTTGGTTTAAAGGGACATCAAAAGGAAACCACCAAGGGATCTCTAATGAGGATCTCTGAGGTGGATCTCTGATATTCAGAGTAAGCTCGCGCGATTAACCGCTTTTCAACTTGCCACCCAAACTTGCTTGCCTGTTGTTTACACCTCTAAAGTTGAGAACATATTTGTTTGTGCTGGTGTTGCATTTGGTTTTTGGTGTTGGCCGAGCTTTGGTTTAAGAAAAAGCTCACTTGCCCCAAAGGACCGGGAAATAAAAGGTGAACCTTTTGGGAGCAAATCTGCAAAAGCAAAAGGTCATTTCAGGTCGAATCGCTTTGGGCAAGTGAGAAAGACAGCAAACACTGGGTGTGCCTTTTTCTGACCCAAGCACAGGGGTTCTTTCCCCAGCGCTACCTGTGGAGTTGGCAAGCTGACAACGTGTTGCCCGGTTTCTTTCTTATTTTAGAAATCAGGAAGACCTTGCACCGCCCGGAAGATTCTAAGAGCCCTTGCAAAACACCTATATTTCAAGACTCCTCTTCGACTTGAGAACCCCAATTATTTTCCGCGATTCTCTTGGCTTTGGTGTGACCCAAATGGCCCCGCAGCGACTTTTGGAGATGGGTTGTTTCATCGAACCCACAAAAAACACAGGGCTGGGGGGAACCCAGCGGGGTTTCCATGGGGGTTCTCCAAATCCGGAACATCTCGGGGAGCACTCCAGCCTCAAACCCCCCACGCTGCGAGCAGCGAGGCTGCGACTCCACGCTGCGAGCCCTGCGGGGCCAGTGGGAGGCAAGCCCAAAGCTCTTGCCGAGGGGAGTGGTGCGAGCAACTCCGCGGATCTCTGGGGTAAAGCCAAGTGAAACCAAAGTTGCTTCCATTTGCTCCAGGATTTTTCTTAATTTTCCCCCTCTTGGGTTTTAAAGGGAATCTAATAGGTTGTATTTTTCCCAGGGGCTTCATGAAAGGGAGGGCTGTGGGTCCTTCTCTTGGGGATCCACTTCTTTCGGGACTTGGAATGAGATCAAGCATTGCAGAGGCTGTTTGGCTGGCAAAATCAAGGCAGGAAGGAAGCTAAGAGGGGAACCCCTCCTGCAAACACACAGGGCTTGATGCATGGAGGAGCACATGCTTTGCAACGTGTATCGCCTGCACACCCCGCAACAATGCCTAAACTTGATAAGACCTTATGCAAGTGCTCCAAAGGTCCCCATCAAATTCAAGCGGAAGGACAGGGTCTGTGCTGGAAAGCGTTCATGTTGTTTGGACCTGTTGGGCAATTTGTAGCCCTTGCCTCCTTTGCCGGGTTAAGAAGAGGGTTTGGGTTGTGAGGCTGGACATGGGACGGCTTCATGGCGCCCAAGTTTTTTGCTCCGAACGTTCTGCACTGCAGAGCGTTTATAACAGCCACTCGAGTTGCCCAGAAAACAGGAAGCAATCTCGACAGCAGCCATCTCATTTGAGCCCAAACTTTTTGTTTAAAGGAAACCAATAATCACTCACTCCTCGAGTTCATGACCTTTGTCTTTTTGGGTTGGACCATTTTGGTGGTAAACAACAAGTTTGGATGATTTTGGGCCCCTCGACTCAGGAAGTGATAAAAAGACAAGCCTTTGGTGCCAAAGTGTACATGGATGGTCTCTGTTTCATCCGATCGAATGGACTCGTGAACAATGGACAGGGGCTCTTATGCTTTCTCTTTGGTGTGGCCTTGTCTCCCATCACCGTTTAACTGGCCCAAGGTCAGTTTCCCCCTCACTTTCCTAGAGAGCGGCAAAAGAACCAGCGCCTTTTGGCCCATTCGTTTGAGGTTAGCTTCCCTGCGTGATGTTTAGTGATGGAGTCTCTTTAAAGCCAACAGGGCAAAATAAAGAATACCCTCAAGCAAACGGAAGTATGGGTTTGTCTTTGTTTCATGGCACTTTCCTTGTTTGGTGATTTTAATGCGAAAAGCCGAAAGGAGCACCGAACTCCATTTTGGGGGTGTCCCCTACAAAAGACACTTCCCCCATGTCTGTTTCTTTTTTTTTACGGGAATCCATCACTACTGGGCATGTTTTTTCCACTGGGCTTCAGGAATGGAAGCATGGGACATGGCCTGCTTTGTGCGTCGCCGCGATGTCCCAGGCAGCTTTGTCCCTGATGCTGGCCATGGCAACCTGGCACTTGCGGGCCACGCCGTTGAGCACCGGCCTCAGCTCTCGGGGCTGGGGTTGGAGGGTCCGGACGCAAAAGACATGTCTTCGGGGTCCCTAAAGGGAAACCGAAAAAACAAGAAGCTGTTAAGCACCATTTTTGTTGGGGGGTTCTGATTCCGATTTGGAGACAAACCGAAATATGCGCCAGGCAACCATGTTCGGTTGGTTTCCTTTTGGCTTCCCGAGCAAAACAACCGCTAGTCCAATCTAAATTTACTTGAACAATCCCGACCTAAGACATTTGCTCAAAGGCTTAGTAGACCAACACTTTTTCCAGCGCTGCTGATACTGGCTTGCTTGCCTTCAAGAGTTTAGCCACTGAAACTTCGAGATATCGCGGAATGCCGTCTCGGTTCAGCCAAATCGGCGCTCCTGCAGTCCAACTCTGGGGGTAAGGGGGCCCTCGTGGTTGCTCAGTGACCCGAACTCTAGAACACATATTGAACAGCAGTGGAAACTCACCAATGAAGAATGGGATTTAGAGGGACCCGCTCATTCCCAATTCAGCGGTCTGCTCCCTTTTTCTGTTGTGCCTCTGAACAAACTGGGTGAGTGTCTTTTGGGTAGACTTACACCTAGGGGCGTTTGGGCTCAAGTTGACCTAAAGTTTTTTGCCAGAAAAAGACATCCTGCGTGCAACAATATTGGGTGTCTTCTTTTGAAGCACGGGCCAGTTGTTTTGCCATACATAACATGTTTCCTGCTGTGATGACCCGCACCTTTGCCTTCCCTCCGCCTGAGGCTACGAAGCAGCCCTGCCGGATGGGCCCTCGCCGATGCTGCCAGTGCTGCTTGGAGCTCTGCAGGCCTTCGAGATGAAAAGCGCAGGCTCTTCCTTCGGCGCTGTAGAAAAGGCGCCACGGAGGCCCTTGCGGCCATAAGCGGCTGGTTTTTTTTTCGGCGCCAAACGCGCATCAGAAAGGAAGTCCCAGAAAGGCCATGATCTCTATGTTGGAACTTTGGTGCTACATTGGCCTAAGCCATTTTTAGCATTGCTTGGTTTGGCTCAATTTGTTGAATTGTGATTTTTTGACTAACGTCCATGCCCACTTGACTGCGGTTCCATATTTCAACGGGAGGGTGTCATGAAGGCATTTTTTTAATTACGAGCTCAACAATAGGTTGGGGCACGAAGCGAAGTCCATGGTTGTCCCCTTAGGTTTTTTGCTGTTGAGGGTTTAGTCGCAGAGGTTCCTTTTAACCCACTAAAAAAATAACTTTTAGCCAGGTCTGAGGACAGCCCAGTTTTGAGAACCACCTCAGATGGTTCTTGAAGGTGCGCTGACACGACGAGTGGCGCCCAAGTGCATGGTCGTTGGAAACGAGACTTCTTGTTCCATCATATTGTTTTCAGTACCCTGTAATGGGTGACCAGGAGTTTTTCCTTTACCAGGGTAGGAGGGTGCAGGTATGGTCACCTACTCCAGGGGTAGCCGAAATGACTGGCCTTGCCTTGCAGCCATTCTCTCTCAGCAGCGCCGGACAGATGCGGTGAGGCTGGCTTCGAGAGCAAGTGGCTGGGAGCTACTTGGATGTCCCCTTTCCCTCCCTGGTTGTTCTGTCCCAAAGCGGGTAAGGAAATTTCCAGCAGAAAAACCTGCGAGATTTGATTACTTAAGTGGGGTGGACATCTACCAGCACTGCTTTTGGACACTTTAAGATTTGGGCACGTTGTGGTGAACATTTTTCTTGGCCCCCCTGCACCTCCACGTTCACATGGCCCGGGTATGAAGCGATGGCCAGCTCAGGGGCTGCCCTGGCGTTGTTTTTTGAGGGTCCTTCTTTGGTTGGTTAGAAAGGGACACCATCCTTTCCTGCTTCAAGCTTTTCAAGCATTATTGTCTTCAAGGAAGGCAGTGTCTCCTTCACTTGATCCATTCTCTTCAAAGAATGTCACTAATTATTTAGTCATTCCGAAATCTGTTAGTGTGCTTTCAGAGTCTGATTCAAGCTCTAAGCGGAAAGCCACCATTACAAATGGGTTCCAGCTCGCAACAAGGATCCATAGTGTGCATTGATTTCGAAGCCTTCTGAAGAGTATTGCATGCACATTGGTATGCGATCGTATTTTTCTTTAGGTCCTTCTTTATGTGCTCAGAGCAGATTGCGGCATTTGAATGTGGCAGGAGACGAAGATGCGCCGCCGTTTGAGGCCGATTGAGGTAGGTTTCACGCACAGCCCGGGTCAGTCATGGCAAGCGACGACGCGCTGCTCCAAAAGGCTCGCAGACACCTCGACGAGATCCTGGGGCTTCAGAAGTTCGGGCGAAAAGCATTGCAGCAGGAGCGGCGGAAGGCCATCGGACGCCTCTGGTTTGTGGCTGGCGAGATGCTCCGCGAGGCCAAGAAAGTCCTCCGGCTCGGAGAGGCCACCGGTCCGGGCCCTGACGTTGGCCATTTGAAGTTTCTGCCCGACTTGCTGCAGGAAGTGAAGGAGCTTGCGATTTCTGGGTACTGGGATGTCCCCGAGGCGCTGGAGAAAGCGCAGAGCATCTTGGTCATTGCGCGGCGCTTGCAAGAGCTCCTCGAGCCATACGTGGGCACGGTCTTGATCTCCGATGAGGGCCCTCACTTCTTGGCCATTTTGCCTGCCCAGGCCTTCCCCCAAGCTGATCCAGAGTCCCAAACTGCTTTGTGGGTATTAGGTTCATGCATGCGGGAAAGATTTGGTAGTTTTTTGGCAATCTCTCAAATTATCTCGGAATTTGTCGAATTATCTCAAAGTTGTAGGTCAGGTTGAAGGCAACTTGCATTTATGGAATTTGGTGTTGCATGTTTGTTGTTTCTGACATGGGTGTGTTCAAGAATGCCGTGCTTGTGTTTTTCGGATTTTTGTTTTCACAACTGTCTTGTATTACTAATAACACATAACAAGCTGGGCTCATTCTGACTTTGATCATGACTAGCTGCGCAATTCTGTATGTCTAAGCCACGGTGCTAGCATTTAATTTGGCCTTTGATTCACAGGTGCTCCAAAGACAAACAGTGTGTTACTGTTGTCAGTCGTGTCGCGAGAAATCGTGAGACTTAGGGGCTCGAGTCAGACCCCTGGCTACTCCAGCAGCTGGCAACCGGATGACCTGCTTTCCGATGTTTCCATGCTCTCAAGCACAGGCCAAGCAACATATCCTCCAGCCTCCATTCCTTCACTTCAGGAAACGCTGGGATGCCATGCCTCAGCCCATCCTTGCACTCATCATCCTGGTGCAGAAGAAGCACTTAATTTCTCTTCCGGCACTCCGGCCTCACTCGCTGGTTCCTCAAAAAATCAGGCGACGCAGCCGCCTGTGTATGTATCCCTTGTTGGGCACTGGTGCTGTCATTTGGTGCCTGTGGCTCTGCCCTTGGTTCCATGACGGCCCTGGCTTTGGCCTTCGCCGTGGCTGGCTGGCGCGATCTTTTGGATATTTAAAGGCATGCTCCAGCACGACATTGAGAAAAATGCTGCTCGCGCGCAAGTTTCATGGGGCGCAGCGTCCCATTCTCACTGGGGCTGTATTCCACAGCAGGAAGGCCATTGTCTTTTGTGATGAGCTGAATGTAAGTGACTGGCGCCAACAAGGGCTGCCAATTTAGCACTTGTGCTGCTGGATCCACGCATGAAACCAAAGATATCCCAATATCCTCAGGTATGGCGCGAACCCCACATATGCCCACTGGGCGCTTGCTGCCGAGTGAAGTGGACGTAACGCCAGTTTTGGCAAAGAAGTGCAAACTAAGATATTCGCAGCTTGCACGAGTTGTTGCAGTCTGGCGCAAACGCTGACGAGGACGAATGTGTTCAAGTCACACTGAGTTTATTTGCGAGATGGTGCAACCCAACTGCCCGTCCCTGAAGAGCAGTGGCAATCCTGGTTGCTTGGACCAGGGGTCCATTGAACATGTGGATGGCGCTTGCAATGAGGAACCACGGTTCAGGTTTTTGGGCAAGCTGACGTTTGGACGCGATTGCTCTGCGTGTGGGACTTGAACCCCTCAACATGTCAAGAAAGGCTGCTGGAACAAGGCATGCAATGAAATGCTTGTTGACCACCATGTGTTCAGAATGGTTTTGCTACCTGGATGATGAGATGGCATACAAACGAAAGCGAATCGGCCCAAAAGAGGAGCTGAACCTCATGAAGAAGACGCGCGGTGTGTTCAAGCTGGCCTGGAAGATTTCGTGAGGACTTGTTTTACCATTCCCACATCTTACATACAGTCACTCGTCCATTTTGGACATGGTACAATGCAAGCAATGAAATCCTGCTGTGGTAGGCAACGCAAAAATGCTTTGAGCGTGACTCCGCTTGCGAAAAGTAGCGCGGACTTTTGGCGCGCTGTGGTTTCAAGAGTTGAGGGCAAGTTTCTCATAGTGCTGCGCTTGTTTGCGGGAACTTCTGGTGGCGAAGCAAGTTGTGGTGTCCCGGCTCAAGTGCTCTTTTCAGCTATCAGCGGACAGTGCATGTTGCATTTTTCATGTTTTGCATGTTCGCATGTTAGGGGGAACCTTCCATGACAACATGTCAAGAACAGCGACAAAATGCATGAGGTCTGGCAGGCTTGGGTGTTCAAGGTATCATTACTTACTGCAGTTTCAACTATGCCAATTTTGGCTCAAGGGATTGATCCAAATTGCCTAGTTGAGTTTTCTGTCTCAGGAGTGACCTGTATGGCAGGAACTCAGTACGGAGCGCCAGGTCCTTTCACCTGCGTTTATGGACTTGTGCTATGCGGCTGCAGGGTGGAGCGCCCACCCAGGCGCGGATTTCCGTGGTGGAGATCCGAGGAGCCAGATGACCATGGTGGTCATATGCCTTCATATTGGCGCCAGTATCCGAATGTGAATTTCATATACAGAGATTTCCGTGGTGAGGTGATTGCAGATGCAGTGTATGTTACACGCCCAGGGGCATTCTATCATTCCTTGGGATGTCGATGGATCCAAGGCCGGGAAGCCAAGATCTCACTGGGTATAGCAGATGCCGGACTTGCAATCCTCCATTTCGTGAGGATGGTGGTGTGTTGCGAAGGCAACAGGGCAAGCGCAATTCAGATGCTAGATCAAGTACAGGCTGATGCATGGTTGTGCGTCAGATGCATGTTTGGCTTGAGCATGAAATAGCTCAAGAGTTTCAAGGAATTAGGTGAAGTCAATGCTACAAACATTTCGTTTGACTTCAAGGCGGGGTGTTAAGCATTGTGCACTGCTAAGACACCCATGTTGTCATGGAACTAAATCCGCAGTTGTACAAACCAGTTTACCAATGTCATGAACTTGGCATGTACAGTTTTTCGACTGGTGGCATAGAGGTTCGAGTTGTGTGGTGAAAAGTCCGCACTTCAACAGTTTTGAATTGTTTGCCTCTGTTTTGTTTCTTTGGCATTGTTTTGCATGTTGTTGCATGTTCGATTGCATTTGCATTGTTCGCATTTGTTGCACTGTTTTGCGTGTTGTTCATGTGCTGGCATTGTTTTTCATGTTTGCAGTTTGCATTGTTGCACGTTATTTCCATTTTTGCATATTTGTACAGTTTTGCACATTAGATGCATGAAGATCTTGTCGCAGACGCTGCTCTTGAGGACGCTGATCTTCAATATTTTTGCCAAGATGCTGATCCTGAGGAGGCTGATCCTGAGGATGCTGATCCTGAGGATGCTGATCCTGAGGATGCTGATCCTGAAAATCTTGACGCAGATGTTGGTCCTGAGAATGCTGGTTCTGAGCAGAGTGAGTCCAACTGCTTTACGCGGCCTACTCGGGCTTCAGATCCCCGAAGCTCTGGGGTTCCCATGACTGATATAGCAGACGTGGCTGAGCTGCCGGCTGAGCTGCCAGTGGTAGAGAGGCAAGTGTTGGAGCTTGAACTGGCCGAGCGAAAGGTTCAGTACCGGCACCAAGACCATGAAGATATTGCATCTACGCTCTACAGGCTGGGGCATCAATGCAGCAAGGAAGGAAACCGTCCCAGGGCGAAAGAGCTCCTGGACGAGGCTTTGCAGATGTTCCGTCGCCTGCACGGCGACTCCAACCACCCAAACATCGCCGCAACACTGCATGAGCTGGGAGACTTGTGCAGGACCACAGGGGACCTACCCAGGGCTGAACAGTTCTTTCAGCAAGCCTTGCAGATGGAGCGCGCTGTGCGGGGCAACTCCAACCATGCAAGCATCGCTGCAACGCTGCATGAGCTTGGAGACCTGTGCAGGGCCAGATGGGATTTACTCAGCGCTAAAGAGCTCTTGCAGGAGGCTTTGGAGATGAAGAACGCTGTCTACGGCGATGCCGACCACGCAAGCACTGCGGTAACACTGCATGCTTTGGGCTGCTTGTTCAGGGACGGGGGGCACCTTCCCGAGGCTAAAGAGTTCTTGCAGAAGGCCTTGAAGATGAAGCGCGCTGCCTATCGCAACCGCAACCACACAAACATTGCCGCAACGCTTCATGCGCTAGGAGGCGTGTGCAGATTGGAAGACGACCTATCTGAGGCCGAACGGCACTTGCTCGAGGCCTTAGACATGTTGCGCGCTGTCCACGGCGACTACGAGCACTCAAACATCGTTGCAACGCTTTGGGCTCTCGGAGGCGTGCACCAGCAGGCAGGTGACCTATCCGAGGCCAAGAAGCGGCGTGACGAGGCCTTGGAGATGAAGCTTGCTTTGAGCTGCTTGTTCAGCGAGGCGGGGGACCTACCCAAGGCTTGAAAGCTCTTGCAGGAGTCCCTTAACTGGACAGCGTCCTTCACAGCGTCATTGTCACTTGCTTAGCACTTTCCTTCTAAGCTTACCGCGAATCACGAAGAAACTGTTTATCACAGTCCCCTAAAAGTGCCGAGCCCAAACACAGGATAATGCTGAGAACGCAGTAGGCGAAACCACCCACCTATCCCGCCCTGCAGTCTTTTTCTCCCTCGGCCAGGGTTAGTCAAGGCAACCTGGCGCGGTTTCAAAATAAAGCTGGGAGACCAACGAGTGAAACGCTAGTCACTTAGTTGTCGGGGCCGGAAATTGCAAACGTCGGGTTGCAAATGCTTCATGCCGGGAGTAAGACTCCAACGGTTGAGCGAGGGTCTTTGAAGGCTACTGAAAGTAGTGCCCTGGTTATTCGTCTTATGTCCCGCGCTTTCTCTTTCTTTTCTTCTTTTTCAACGGGGACTTGTTGCACCCTGAGCCCCTGAGCTGTTGTTTTTCTGCTAGGTTTTGGCTCTCTAACCTTTTTCCCGGCCTGTGGGGTGGTCGGTCTCTCGGTGGGTCGTTTCATTGATCCGTCGGTGGGTCGGTCGGGCTGTCAGTCAGTCAGACAGTCAATCAGTCAGCCAGCCAGTCAGCCAGTCAGTCGGTCAGTCAGTCAATCGATCTCCTTAACCGTCGCCCAAACGGACCCCGAACCTATCCTAAACGTGCCTAATTATAGCCACTTGCCCAAACCCATCCTACGCGCCTGAAACCCCAAAGCCACTCCAACACTCGCCATGAGTCGTAGCATGAACACTCCAACGTTGCCCCAAACGTTTCCCCATCCAACCGCCCAAACTTATCCAACACCCGGCCTCAGCCCAAACTTGCAAACCTCCTGCCTTTTCACACACCCAAACAGAAGACAAAGACAGATATTTACCTAAAGATGCAAGATTCGCAAGATCCAGGATTACTAAGATACAGCGGTTGTATAGCTGAAGTTAACGACTGCAAGCCTTCCTTTCCAGGCGAGGTAATGCCCCAGAGTTACAAGCCTTATTCATATGATGCATCCGAGGGAAGGAGGAAACAGTCAAGAGATAGAAAGGAAAAGGCTTGGCCACTCATATCTTCCACTTGTGTGTTCGATTCCCGCACCAATGCAGCCATGCCAAATGAAGACCAAACGTGTGTGTGTGTGTGTGTGTGTGTGTGTGAGCATGAACAATTTTTGTGGGGATTGCACTGCTGTCAGAGTCCTGACATGGTAACCAGGAACCCGGGGAGGAGATCCAGACGGCTCGTTGATGGCCAGGCGCGGGGCAGGGCAGGGGTACGGGAAACATCGCAATGTGCCTTTCGGCCGGGCCCGAGCCTTGGCATTTCTTGGGTGACCAACCCATTTTGAGGGTATCAAAGGGTATCTCTGAGGGGCACGTACTACCGAGCATGCAGTGATCTCCCTTCACCAGAACCAAGCAAAGGTTTGGGCTATTTGGTCAAACTGTTTTTTCGTTTATTTGGGTTGGGCACGCGGCAAAACCACTCCCGAATGCCGGTTGCCGTGGCTCATAAGTGCTAGAGGGGTGCTTGGATTGCACTGCCGTGTCGGATAAGGGGGTTTCAGCCATTGCATGCTGCCAGCACATTTGATTTCTGTGTGTTTCGTGCACCGTGCCCCATGCGGCAAGGAGCGTTGAGCCCGACTATGGAATGCGTGCGCGCGGTTTCACCTCAGTTTCCAATTTTGGTCTACCTCCCGGGCCCTTAAAGGTGATGATCTTGTGTCTCCAGTTGCTTTGGCAAGTCAAGTGAGTGAGGTTCATCTTCACCGGTCCTTTGTGGGCTCCTCTCAGTTCGGCAATCATATTTCAAGGCGATCACCTTTAAGGGAACGTCCTGAATCACTTCGGTCAAGGGCCAAGTGAGCGCTCCAGGACTCCAAGCTTTGAATCCCGCAGAACCTGCGCGGCCGACAGAGAATACACACTTGAGCAGCGCAAGCCAAGCCCCTTCTGAAAGTTGCCCGATTTGGTGAGGAGTGAGTTTGGTGCTTTGGGTTAGGGATTCGAGTGCCCTACAGGATCACTTGATCAAAGAGATTTGGGCGCTGCTCACTTCAGAATTTGTGCAGCACCACGTCAGGCCAAGCTCGAGCCGTGCGGCAAAATTTGGGGCCAGGACCGCTGCAAGCGGTGCGACAACCTCCCTTGACGTTGGGGGCCACACACCACCAAGAGGTTCAAGGTAGTTCGAGGTAGACACCTCCTTGTGACAAGCCCATGATCTCGAAGCCTTGCCAGGGTACCCTCCCGTGCAGGCTAAGTGCGGGCGGACCAACCAGAGAATTGCCTGGATCCAAGGCTAAGGAATGATTTGCGGATTTGGCTAGCCCTCGAGAGGTTGATTCCTTTTCCATTCTTTTCGACCATCGTTCTTTTCAAAAATCAGCTGTTTCACCAGGGTTATTGATGGTTTCCTGAAAAGATTCGGATCCCTGGAAAGAATGGAAAAGGAAGCAACCCCTAGAGGCTTCTCTTTCTTTGAGGCTTCCCTTTTGGGGTCCGGGTTGGTTTTCAAGGGAAGCCAAAAGGAAGGCCAGCAGCGTTCAGAAGCCACCTCCGGCCTCACAGACTTTGGCCAACCTCTTGGCTCCTCGCCGCAAGTGTGTTTTCTCGTGGCGCCCCGAGTTGGGTACCCGGAGGCACTTGAGGATCCTCAACGCCCAGGAAGAAAGAACAGCTTGTTGATCAAAAGGTTCCACTTTGGGAGCTCCTTGGGGTTACCCTAACCTAATACTCCACGAGCTTCATGGATGTTGGGGTGTCCATTCGTTTTAGCCACTGACACGTGCATGTCGATCGCAGGTTCGCCCCTTATGGAGAGGACGGCTTCTGCCTGCCGGGTGGTTCTTGAAAACAACTGGCACTGGTTGTGTTTGCAGGGACCTAAGGCGTTCCTTTGCACAGGAACGCGTCACACGACCAATGCATGGACCATGGTGCTTCGGGGGATGCATGCAGCTGGACATCCGGGATGTGGTTGTGTTGGCCTCAAAATAAGAGAACCCAACAAAATTGGAGTGGCTTCCTTTTGGCGCTTTGAGTGCTTCAGGTAACGCCGGGTTTCCATAGGGGCTGATTCCGTCGCAGAAATCAATACGAAGCTGTGCATCTTAAAGGAGAGACGTTTGGGTTCCTTCCAGCAGCAAGGTTTTCAAGAAGCCCATAAGAAGATTCCTTGGAAGCCTTTTGCAACGAAAATGGGGGGGGGTTGGTTTTCTCCAGATGGAACCCAAAAAAGAAAAGCTCGAGGTTTAAGCTCAAGCTTCAAACCAACATGACACGTCGGGCAACAAACATTCTATGTCCAGCCTTGAGGTGCCAGTTTCACCAATCTTGTTTTTTGCAAACGTGCTCCAGAACAACTGGAGCTTCAACCGATGGCTTCCTTTAAACCAAGAGGGGGCAGATACCCAACTTCCTGTGAACCACCAGGAGCAGCAAGCTGCGCCTGCACAAGGCCACAAGCAAGATTCGAGATCTCGGGCGACGCGCAGCTGAGAACTTAAACCTTGCTCGTCACACCGGATGGGTTCGTCTTGTTCGAGGGATCTTTGTGTGTGAAGAATGACAGAGGTATAAAGGCAGGCCAAGAAGAGACCCTGCATGTTGCACTTTTTGCGGTTGCATTGTCATTAAGTGTGAGACTTCCGGCTTGCATGAGATGCATTGTTAGGGGTTGCATCTTGGATTCTAGGCCCCCTGTCTGGTTGGTAAAAACGCCGTGTTTCCAGCAGCCACTACAGAAGGTAACTGGGTACAGACATAGCACGAGGCTTGAGATGGTGGGTCCCTGATGGAGCTGGAAGCACCGGAAAAAGACTTGGAATGTCCCTCGGTGTGCTCAATTCCCATCGGTGTCCCGAGTTTCCAACTTAGGTTTCAAGCATCTCCTTCCCACTCCCTAAGATTCCCTAAGTTCCTGTGCTTGATACTTTTCGGGAAGATCATGCTAGAGGTAACTCAAAAGTTTGGACTTTCTATTCCAATCCACTCGATGGGAAGTGAGCCTCACCGGGCCCACGTCTTGAGAGCCCAGTCGCGGCCAAGGAGTATCGGCTTGGCAATCGGCCATCCGGGTCTTTGAGGAGCTGCCGACGTCTTCTCTGCAGCCCAACAAGTGCCCTGAATCGTTTCAGACTCGAGTCAAAACCACCAGGCGGCACGGGAAAAAGGGCAAAACAACGCCGCAAGCTAGAACCTTCGAAAGCTGCGGAAAAACGGGGGGAAGGTCTCATGGTTTTGCAAGAGCGGGAATCACGTGGACTTTCTGAACACCCACGGACTGGACCCCAGAAGAGCAAAGCAATGCCTGAAGACTATAGGTGTGGAGACCCAATTTGTTTGCGTTCTTTTAAGCCAGCTGACGATATTGTGTGTTGATTGGCGGATCCAAATCCAAATTTCTGAGAAACCCAAGAGGCTGGGGGAGTTTGGTATCAGAGCTCCAAGAGGCTGAGACGGAGGCCTTTAAACGTCCGAAGTCCGAAACCTCTCCCAGATATGTCATGTCTGCAGGAAACCAAGGGAAGCAGCCTTGAACTAAGAGGAGAAGGGGTTTCGCTGGGTTGCCGTGAAAAGTGGGAACTGGAATCCACTTCCCAAGTAATGGACCTACATAGTGAGCTCACTTTCCACCCAGGCGTGCTCGCCATAGAAAAGGCAGAGTTGAAGGGACCCCCGTTTTGACACACACACACACACACAAGGAGCCCCCTGCCTTTTTTGGGACCCAGAGAATTGGAAACCAACCAAATGGGATTGTCCATTTCGGTTGGTTTCCCAAACCATGTTTGGAAACAGATTCCTTTTTGAGAACCACCCATGGGTCTTAAAGGGAAGTCCTAAAATGTCCATAGTTTTTTTTCTGATTTCCTCGTTGTTCCTATTTTTCCACGTTTTCATATTTCCCATGTTTTTTTCGTCGGTTTCCCCCAAGACACGGAACATCTCCCTTGAGACCCCCCGCGAAAATGCAGTCCCTCCCCCCGGCGAAGTCTCCCGAGGTTCTCCTTCGGCGCGACGCTCAGCGCCTGTGAGAAGAGCGCCCAATGGCCCACCGCCCTGGACCTTCTCCAGGCGCGGCGAGCGTTCGCGCGTTCACGCACGCGAGCTCGCTCGAGTGGCTCGGGCGGGTTTTTTCGTGGAGGGGAGAAGTGAGGGAACGATGGGAAAGCCATGGATGTCGGAGGTGAAAGCGTTTCTTCCTTTTCGAAAAGCCAATGGAAAGCTACTCTCTCTCTCAAGTTATCTTAAGGTGTTCCTGGTTTAGGGGGAATTTGGTCAGAGGCAAAGGCACCCATCCTTTCGCCCGGCTCCCCAAAATTGTGTCAGACCCGCCCATTGCCGAGGAGATGGCGCGGCTTGCGGTGGAATTGGATGTGATCAACTGCAGCGCCGCATTGAGCGCTTGTGAGAAGGCCAAGGACCGCTTGGGGCCGTGGGTCAAATCACCCAATTTGGGTTCGCCTCGTTTTTGTTGGGGGATACCCCCTTGGTTTGGTTGTTTTAAAGGGAAACTAGAAGGAAAGCCACCATATTGGTGGGTCTCCTAAACAAGACACCCAAATCACAGCTTCTGCGGGTCCAGGGTGCGCCCCGGCGATTTCAAAAGGTGAAGGACACCCAAGCCGCATCCCCAAAAAGATAGTGATGGGCCAGCCGGAATTCGTCAGAGGTTTGTCGGCCCCTTTTTCAGGTCGGGGTTCATTGCTAGACCCCAACGGAACGGCCAGAGGGTACCGACAGACGACGTTGCTTCCGTTCCTAAAGGATGTGGGTCTGTCTGTGTTTAAAGGTTGGAGCCCAAAAATGTCTGGTGTCCTTTTGGTTTCTTTTTGAATTCAAGAAGAGACGCACCCACAGCAGCGAAGGCCCGGCTAACTTGGTAGCAACTGCCACTTCCGAGCAAACTCTCAACTGGTGCGTTTGAATCGGAGGAATGGCGATGGGCGCTGCAGCTCATGTCGGCCTTGCTGGATGCTGAGGCTTCGATTTCGACGCAGGTTGGTTCCTTAGGTGCACGTCAGACGTCAGACGTCACCCGAATCCCAACCGCAACCACTGCTTTTCGGTTGCCATACAAAAGAGGGGATTTTGGGCATGGGAAACTGCTGTTGGGGGGGTGCTGGTAGTGGAAAAGAGGTTGTTGCCTTCTCAACGCAAGGGCAGCTGTGTCTCAACTGGCCCAAGGGTTCCTAGGAGTGTTGATCATACTGGTGCACAATGGGTACGTGTCCAAACAGAAAACCCCCGAAAAGCTATGCTCAAGTTCCTGCAGAGCGGAATGTTCGCCGAATGCCTCAGGCCGAGCTGTGTTGAGCTGAGATGCCTTCTGAAGATTCTGAGCGTGCATGTTGACAAGTGAAGTGTCTTCATGAGCTTCTGAAATATGGCCATGGGTCAAAACACCGTACCGCCAGTGAACATCCCAATCCCCACTAAAATAGACAAAAATGGGTGGTGCACCTATCCCAAAATGGTAGCATTGGTTTTGAACCATGGTCGTATTGTGCCTCACATGAGAGCACCCCATGCTTGAAAGGCCACGCTCAGCTCTTGTTTTTCACCCCTCCTTCGAGAAGATTTTTGTCACGAGTTCTCCGGGTTTTTTGCACAGCGGGGTTGGCGGATTTTTGTGGTCACGGGGTGCGAGCATTCCGACGATGTTCAAAGCGGAGCTTTTGCAGGTGGACAGTCCCCTTCACACAACGATCCATGGATAATCTCAAGAAAGCTTTGGTGTGCAACTTGGTGTCCAAGTTCCCCTCATCCCTCCCCACAGAAGTCCCCTGTTTACTCTCTAAGAAAGTCCCACAGAAACCCCCACGCTTACCACACTAGCAGCCTTTAGTGCGTGGGGCCGCTCTACTTGATTCGTTCCCTTTCGTGAGGCGTATTTGGCTGCAATAATTAACCTTGTTTCCCTCCCACTTCATAATAAGAAATTCAATGAGACCAGGGTTGTTGGCTGCTGTCTCGACATGCTACTCTCTTTCAAACCCACTGCACCACGTTTTTGTTCAGACTAGGTCCACTCCGGGCGTGTTTAGCAGCGCGAGAACCACAAATGGTGGTAGTGATTTCCCTTGGAACCAAGCCCTAGTAGAAGGCCAGCTTTGGTTAAACCAGATTCCGAAACCCCCAAAACGGGAAAACAACAGGAAGCTTGTCTTGCAAAGGGGTGTTCTTCAACTTGTTTCAGGCAGCCCTTCGGTGGTTTGGATTGGTTGTTCGGGGCTTTGAACCGCTTAGCCAAGTGGGAAAGTTGAACCCCCTGAGGTCCAAACCCACACCGGCAACTCGGGGTGAGGCGGCTGGCCAAGAATCGAGTAACCTCAAAATGGGTTTCCCTGCATGAACGACATGGACTAAAACCTGCTTTCAGGTTCACTCTTGGACCCATAGGTGAAGAATGATGTGTCATGTTTCAGCCGTACCCCCACATTGCTCGTTCTCTTTTGGTTCCCTCATAACCAACCCCAAAAAGAAACCCCCAAAAACACGAGCAACAATATGATGCTCCCCGGAAGGCAGACAACAAATCGGAGTCTTAACTGCTATTGGGTTGGATCTTTAGACTTTACCTTTTGGGGAAATCAAATGGTTTTCCACTAAACCCCGAAAAAGTTAAACTTTTTGCAGGGGGGACAACAGCAACCAAGGAGTTAGGAAGGTCCAGGTCTTTGTTTCACCCACGCCGCGGCTTTTTGCCTCGCCTCCGGCAGCTGCGACTGGACGTGATCTGCCTGGGCGCCGCCGTCAGCGCCTGCGCCACCGGCTCCGCCTGGGAGACCGCGTTGCACCTGGCGGATGCCCAGGCCAGGCGTCCAGCGGAAGTTTTTGTGGACATGGGTATGGGACAAAATGAAACCACCAGGAGATGGACCGCAGGTTTTAGTCCATGTTACCACCAGGGTTCAATTTTGGGGTTACCCGATTTTCGACCCACAGCCACATCATTTCGCTGGGGATTCATTTTGCTCGCCGGTGCTGCCTGGTGCTCAGCGTTGTGGTACTTGGTGGTTTTTCAAGCCCGGCGGTTTGGGGCTTCGATCTTGTTTGGTGTGGGTAGATGGCAAGACCCCACCACCAAACCACCGGGCTCCAAACCAACGAAGGGGCAGCTGAGCAGGGTTGGACCCAGAGGTTTATCCAACCACTTCTGCGATGCAAATCCCCTCTTTGTACGAGGGGTTAGTCTTTGGGAGGCGTTCTTTTTTTTGTTTTTATCACAGATTTGTGGATTCCTTTTCAACCACTCGAGAATGAGAGATGGAATGATCCTGATACCCCATCCCTGGTTTCCTTGAAGGGAATCCTATAGGCTCAATTTTCTCATTCCCTTCTGAGCAAGTTTTGTATAGTGGTTTTCCTTTTGGCTTTGTAGCCTCAAGAAAAGACGAGCCAACCATAGAAGCTAAGGCTAAGAATGACGAAATATGTGGACCATGTAACACTTGCAGTTTATTTTTGTTTTATTATCCCTGGGGGGTAAAAGGCTTTTAAAACAAAGGCCGTTACATGAACATCCTTTGTTTGACTAGCTGGGGGATGGGGGATGATGGGGGCCTGGGTGGAATTCCAACTTTACATCGTCAGCAACAAGCCTTTTCCACACCAAGCTAGACTTGCGAAGGCCTCAACGTTAAAGCAGCACATGTCTGCATCATCAATGGAACAATCATGGTCTTCCCGAAACATCCATTCAGCAAGACCTTTTCAAACCCAGCAGAAAACAACGCCAGCCAGGACGAATGCGAGTGGTTTTTCGCCTGCCAAATTTCACGGCGTTTCACGGTCTTTCACTGCAAAAAAGGCGTTCACGCCAATTTCACGGTATTTTCACGCTTTTCCCTTGACGATTTCCCTTTGCTAAGCCCATGATCAATGTCTCTAGAAATCCCACAAAGTTGAAGAACTTGAGCATTGACCAGCTTCAACATGTCTACACGGTCTTCGCGAGGCTTTGGAAAGCGTACTTTTCAGCCACAAGCACTGCAAAGCCATGTGGCTACTAATGCGGCCAACACAAAACTGTCAACCCAATTAAAAGCGTCCAGCTTGCAAACACAGGACGTTTCCCACATGTCAGGGCCGCTTCCTAAAGGCCTTTCTTTTTAAGGCCCCGAACCCCTGGGTTATTATTAGTTTATTAGTTTTATTCGTATGACTTTTTAGTAGTATGCGTACTAGTACTTTTATTATTAGTATCATTCTTATTTCCGGGTGTGGTCCGCTTCGTTGGACATCCGGCGGAACCGTGGACAGGGTGAGTTGCGAAGCTTAGGGTGCTAAAACCCAACGAAGTGTCTGCCTTTCGGAAGGCAAAGGCAAAGTGTGTTCCTTGGATTTGATGTGAGCCAAGGGGTCAAAACCTATGGGACAAAGCCCAATTTACTTTGTCCGCTTGAAGCAAACCCCCGCAGTTGCCCAGTGCTGCCCCTTGTTTCAACTTTTTTGGGGAGAAGTTCCCTTTAAAGTCCACCAACCGCAAGAAAAAGAGAAAAACAAGATGCCGATTCTTTTTTCCCCATGCAAACTCGCTGGGCATCTAAGCTGCAGTTTGGGCCAGTTGGTTTTCCTTCCAAGAATTTAAAGAACGCCACGTATCCTAGAACCATCCAGCCATATGGTTTTCTTGGGGGAAGCTTTCGAACACTCTTCGCTTCGCGGCCTCGTCACGGCTCGGTGGCCAGAGTTCGGGGTGTCCTTCACTCGGGGAGCGAGGAGTAGCACCGCCCACTTGAGGGAAATGATTGCCCGCCCAAAGTGGGAGATCACGTCGGACCGCAAGGTCCTACAAAGGAGTTGTATTGACACTTTGTGTTGACATTGGTATGTTTCAACACGATTTCTAGCGATAGTCTTCGATACGATTTGAGGCTGCGATACTTGCTTTTCGATACCGATAGCTCGCAATACGCAACGATACGATTCGGTATGTTGTATTTGTATTGTTGAAACGGCCCTGTTCACCGTTTGGAAATTGCTTTTGGTGTCTCTCTAGATTGCACTTCAAGCCAAAAGGAAACACCAACTTCGGGCTGCAACTCCCCTTTTTGACAAGCACACATGTCCAAACTCGTCGTACGGCCACCCAAAAAAAGAACGCCGCGGGGTTCTACGCCTGGGGCGCCTCTTGAGGCCTTCCGGCTCCAGCCCAACGTCGTCACCTGCAGCGCCGCCATCCGCGCCTGCGAGCGAAAGGCGCTCTGGCAGCAGGCGCTCGGAGCGCCGAGTCACTCGCCGTTTTGCGGACGTCAGGGTGGCTGTCGAGGGGCCGTTTTTCGGGGTGGACCGACCGCCCCGAAAATGGGCGGGTTCAGTTTTGGTTGCCATATCCCCCCAAAAATGTGGGGTTCACTTTTGGTCGGCCTTGAAAAACCCAGCACATGGAACCTGAAGGCAAGTGGAAAATGGTCGAAAACCACAGCAAGCCTGTTCCAATTTGGATGAAGCTCCTTAAATAAATGATGGCCAATGCTGGTTCTGCTTACCCGATTAGGTTTAATGGTTGGCATGGAAAATGGTGTTGGGAGACAAAAAATGTCAGGCCGGCATTCCAGGGCAAAATGGTGGTGGGAGATAAGTTTCAGGGCCGGTTTTCACGGGAACCCCTCTCGATATGACAAAGTAGTGGATAACCCACTTTCATAGATCTCGGTTTACAAGTGTCCTCGTTTTGACACAAGCCTGGTGCCTTGATTCTATGGCCCAAAAAGTGATGTTTAAATCAACATTGGAAATAGAAGCAACACAACATGTTTTGTCAACCCTGATCTTGATAATTACTCCAAATCTGAGCTTTTTCCCAGTGGGGTCCAATTCAATAAGGAATAGCATGGCTTTGGAGCATCCCCATTGAACCGGCCCCACTTGACCATCAACGTGGCTGACTTCAATGTGTTTTTGTTGCTAGGGGAACCGCTCGGGTTCGTCTGGCAAGGGGGCAACCAAAAGGAGCAAAGACCTTTCTGGGTGTTCCCATGTTTTTGCTATGAATGCGAAGAGTTGGACCCCCCTCAAAAGCGTTTGGTGGGCATAGATCCCGACCTATACGCCGTCGACCAAAGAGTACCCCATGAAGATTACCCAAGTAACCCTAGAAACGGAAAACGATCAGACACAGTGAAAATAAGGACCCACGTGTGCACTGATTTTGATCCGCCCTTGAGTTGGGCTGGGGTATGCACCGACTCTGCACGCAAGTCACATGGTTAGATGATTTGGATCTTCCGGGGGTACGCCTTGCGCAAAGGGAAAGAACATGGGGCTGAACATGTGCAACTGGGTTTGACTACCTAGATGAAGTTGGTTACCCCCCCCTCGAAGATACCACAATCACAAGTAGGAGTTGTCCGGCTTCATTCGACGGTTGAGACCATAAGGCTGATATGCACAGATGCTGCCCGACTTTGTTTCCCAGGCGAGATGTGGTGTGATGCTTTCCTCCAAACAACTCTTCAGGGGCTGAATGGTTGGGTTTCTTACAGACAGATGGGTATGCGTCAATATAGGGGGACCAAACAAATGTGGTGTTTCTTTGGTTTCCCTTGAAGCCAAGGTGAGAAAGGGAATTGTCCAACGCCCTTGAACAAAAACAAGCAAACCAGCCCAGATGTCGAGAGGCGTTGCTGCTACTGGCGCGAATGCACACCTGCGATATTCAGCCCAATGTGCCACTCGGCCGATGCCCGTTGATGGGAATTTAGTCCTGGTGCCCTGTGCTAAGATTGCAATCCTTGTTCCAGTTTACCCTCCCACCAATTCACATGGAACTCGACCTTCGGAGGTCCCTGGGAGAGGAAAGTGGTCTTACAGGACCCCCCAAGTCAGGTTGCATGTTCATTGGTGGGAGGGTAACTCCTACAATACTCAAGTTGGTCAGCAGTTTTCTCCACATTTCCACACTTACTTTTGTGGACCCCTGAGCAAGAGAGCTCACGATCGACGTGTTGAGCATCGGGTTCAACAAATGGTCATGTGAGCTATAGGGTATCCAAGTCCCTTTGGCTTAGACACACCTAGCACAGTGACCACCTCCTTGGGTTTCAAGAACCCAACACTTGGATTACTCTTGGACCCCTTTTCCCCAGTCACTGTGAGCATGCCAAGAGCTCAGTTCTTGGTTTCAAAGGAACCCGGCAGCGGCAGGATTACTCCTGGTTCAGCTTTTAAGAAGCGCGAGACGGGTGCCCGGTTTGGAATTTGTTTCGGGTGAACCTGCCACTTGACTGATTTGCGCAACGATTGGGCCTGCATATTGGGACAAAGGCAAGAACATGGTAGACCCCCCCAAAAGGAAGGCGGGTCGCTTGGGACTGCCGTTTTTGGTCGCTTGCGCCTGCCGCGGTCTCTTTGGGCATCGTGCCTCCCGATCGCTCTCGCTGCAGCGCCGTGCGAACTTGCTAAGTTTACGCTCCCGATGAATCTGATCTCTAGATAGATGTTAAAAGTACATTGGAATGTAGAATGTGTTTCAGACATACGTAAATATGTATATGTATGTGAGTATTCCTATATACATATGCTCAGCCACCTTTAACGTAGGCTGAGCAGATGCGTGCTTCGAAGGGCTGGCCGGCCGAGCCCACTTTGACGGCAAGTCTCGCAGAATCTCTGTGTGAGGCACTTGAACTTTGCACGCCAGGCACCTTTGAGCGGACCTTTGGAGCTGGCGCCCTGCGCAGGCAGCAGAAAGCCTCAGCAGAGGCGTGGCTTCGCTGCAGCCGGTGTGCCATTCAGCGCTGGATGATGCACACGTCCGGTCGGCGTGGAGATATAGGGTTCCATGGGAACAGGTGGTTCGCCACTTCGTCCACAACAGCGCCGCCGGCACGCAGAGTTCACGCGCGAGCGCGCGCAGATGTACAAGTGGACGCACGCTGCTGAATCTACCAGCTCTGGATTTTTGTTGCCCCCATGTCGGCAAGGGTGGCCGGCACGGGGCTGCCCTGGCCTTTTAGTTTTGTTTCCCCACGTCGGCGAGGCGGCTGGCAGCTGCTGTTGTTCACGTGGGTCCTCGCGTCTTGTTTCTCCGGCCCTTCGGTTTTGTTTTCCCCCGCGTTGATTCCCCCATGTGTGTGTGGTCACACTGGAGGCATCTCCAGCGCGCGGTCTGGTTCTGTGCGCCCCTACGACAGGGCAGGCGACGCTGGCCGCGCAAGCGTCTCAGCTAGGCAGCCCTGCGGCCACCGGGCATTGAGCTCGACTCGTACGAACTATTCCCCGCCGAAGCTGTGCTGTGACAGCGCTGAAGAGAAATAACGAGGCAGAGTCGTCGCTGCAAGATAGTATTGTACCAGATATAGAAATAGGTTTATCAAATGAAGAAAACACCAGAGATAAGCCATCTTAATACAATACTTCCTGTTGTGGTTGCTCAGATTGATGGACCGATTGATCGATTGCTCGGTTGATCGATTCGTTGGTTCATTGATTGCTGGATTGATTGGTTGGTTGATTGATTGATTGATTGATTCATTGATTGATTGACTGATTGATTGATTGATTAATTGACTGACTGACTGGCTGACTGACTGACTGATTGATTGATTGATTGATTAATTGATTGGTTGATTGACTGATTGATTGGTTGGTTGGTTGATTGATGGATTGGTTGATTTGATTGATTGGTTGATTGATTGATTGGTTGAATCATTGATTGGTTGACTGATTGATTTGATTGATTGATTGGTTGGTTAATTGATTAATTGTTTGGTTGGTTGGTTGATTGACTGATCGGTTCATCGATTCGTTGGTCTGATTGGCTGCTTTTGTTGCTTGGTTGGTTTCATGCTGTCTTGTTTTGATTTGATTTGATTTGATGGGTTTTAATCTTGATTTGGCCAGATGTTTGAGTTGATTTGGATTGAATTGATCGACTGGTTGATTTGGTTGGTTCGATTTTGATTGTGATTAGGTTTGGTTTTACCTGGTTTGAGTTGACTGACTGATGGATTGATTGACTGGTTGATTGGTTGGTTTGGTTTTATGATTGATTTGATTGATTGATTGATTGATTGATTGATTGATTGATTGATTGATTGATTGATTGATTGATTGATTGATTGATTGATTGATTGATTGATTGATTGATTCTGGCTGGTTGGTTGGTTGGTTCGTTGGTTCGTTGGTTGGTTGGTTGGTTGGTTGGTTGGTTGGTTGGTTGGTTGGTTGGTTGGTTGGTTGGTTGGTTGGTTGGTTGGGTGGCTGATTTATTGAGTGATGGACTGATTTACTGACTTGATTTGATTGTTTGATTGGTTGATTGATTGGTTGGTTGGTTGGTTGGTTGATTGATTAATTAGTTGGTTTGTTGTTTTGAAATGATTTGATTTGCATTAAATGACTGATTGATTGATTTGATTGGTTTGATTTTGGTTTTGATATGATTTGATGTGATTTGGTTTAAATTGATTGATTGGTTAACTGGTTGATTGACTGATTGATTGATTGATTGATGGATGGATGGATGGATTGATGGATTGACTGATTGATTGAGGAGAGTTGGGTGGAGTTAAGTTAAGACGAGTTGAGTTGAGTTGACTTGAATTGATGTGTTTGTGTGAGTTGAATTGAGCTGATTTCATGAGTTGATTTGAGTTGACTTAAGCTAAGCCGAATTGAGTTGGGCGAGCTACGACCAGAGTGAGAATAGACTACGACCAAAATGACCGTAGTGTCCGGCGCAAGTGACCGAAATTGATTGGCGTATGTGACCCCAGACCCGCCCAAAAGGGTGAGTTTCAAAGAGTAAGCAACAAGAAACAGAATTCCATGATGTTTTTGGTCCTCGAATTTTGGAGACACCCATAGCACTAATTGGTGGTTTGGAGGTTAGTGGGTGGTTTCCCATGAATCAGGGGTTCAATTCCCCAAACCTGGCTCCAAATCCAGAACTGCTGGTGCTCAGGAAGGAATGAAGGAATGAACCTGGGGGTCCCCTCAAAGGAAACCAAGGATGGGGTCGGGTCATTCCATTCCTCATTCTGAGCAGGGCTGGATATTTCATAGGGGTCATTCCCTCATCTCTTGCACGCCCCGGCGTGCCGAGGATCACCTTGAACTCGGCCATCAGCGCCTGCGAGAAAGCGGGCAGCTGGGAGTGGGCTCTGGCGCTGCTGCGCTCCATGAGTTCCCTTGACCTGGCGCCGGACGCGGGGGTCCCCGGGCGCCATCGGACACCACGCAGGGACCAATACTAGGTCCCCCAGTAGTGCCCTTTGACCAACTTTTTTGGGAGAGGCTTCCCCTACTAAGATAAACTACTAAGTAACTACAGAAAACACGTTGGCACCCTTATTCTAAACTCTCTACTGGAGGACCTTGCACTCAAAGCGAGCGAGAATGTAGAACGTGAGCTTCTCAAGATCAAGCGACTCACTGGGCTGGGGGGAAACCTCCCGAGGCTGGCGTATCCATCCAGACGTAAAACGAGCTATGACCAGGCAACCAGTAGTTGGCTGTTTGGTGGTTTGGGGATGTGAACCACTTCTTGTAGAGGGTAAATCAGAAGCCACCCCAAATTTCCAATTCCCCGGTCCTTTACGTGCGGTTGCAGTTCTTTATTTTAAGTCTTGGATTTTGAATTCGCAGATGCATCCGTTGAAGCGTCTTCCTCAAGCTGGTTTTGGCGGGTTTCTCAAGGTTTCGAGGGTTCGTCTCAAAGCAACCAGAGTCCGAAACCCTCCGATAGAGGTCAGCTGACTACGGAGATCCAATGATGGTTAGGGAAACCCGCAACAAGCCGCGCTTCCATTTCCTTGAGTTTGTTGTTTTCTGGAACGAAAATCTATCACTACTGGACATAGCTGTTGTTTTTTTCTTTGATTGTTTTTCCGTTTTTTCGCGGGGCTTAAAAGCAACTGGAGGTGCGAGTTTCGCTTAGGTGGTTCATTCCAAACCCCACTAGAGATGGCCATGGGTCAAAATCCCGTACCCCCAGTGAACATCAACCAATCCGCACTAAAATAGGTTCTAAAATGGGTGGTGAATTCACCTACCCCCCTAAAATGAAAATGGGATACCGTTTAACGGTTTTGACAGCCACAGCCAGACGTGGGAATGTTTCGCTTCGGACCTGTGAGGTCATCAGCTACAGCGCGGCCAGCAGCGCCTGTGAGAAGTGCGCTCAGTGGCAGTGGTCGCTGCACCTTCTGCGGGACATGTGCCCTGTTTTGATTCGGATAGGATCAGATCCCAAAACCCGGAAGGTGGCACTGAGCACCAGCAAGAAGGCTCCTCGAATAAGATTGTGTCTTTGTTGGGTCTGGTATGATGGACACTAAGGATCGTTTTTGTTGGGGACCACTTTCTTTTCAGGGGTATTGGTTTTCTAAGGGTTCTTGGCTTCAAAGTAGATGTCCATGGCACATGCCCCGTAATCTCTCGTGTTGCTTCAGCCTTTGGCTCTCTACAAATGATCTTGCCAGCACTTGATAGGCACGGCGAACACGCACGTTCCTTCGGTTTCCCCCTGGAGCACCGCTCGGTTGAACAAGCTGCACATCGGGAACATACGCCCATGGCCGATTGCACGGTCGGAACACCCTCGAAATTGGTTGGTGGATGCACACGTCTCCATGGGGAATGATGTCCGCCAAAGGGGTGCCCAATTAGAATGAGGAGAACGGGATGAAGACTTTTCTTCCAATTAACGTTGCCAAGGAAAAGGATAACCAGAATCCTTGCGAGCGAGTGGTTTTGGGCAAAACCAAGGACAGCTGAAGCCCTAGCGGTTTACTATAGAACCCTCAAAGGCCGTGCTGGGATTTGTTTGCGTTTCTTTTTGGTACCGCATTTGGATGTGGTCTTTTTTGAGGCGAAGGACAGACCCTCGGGGTTGGTTTCAAGTGGAAAGGGGAAAGCTGGGTGGATCTGTTTTCGGGAACTCCCCCCCAAAAAAAGAAGAGAGTAAAACAGTGGTTTTCTCTTGGCCTGCCTTTGAAACCACCAAATAAAGCATACCCTCGAAGAAAACACGCCTACATGGTTTGTGAGTGAGAAACCCGGGGTGGGGTTGGGGTGGGGATTCGTGGGATGGGTGGATCCCTTTGCGACCGTTTCGACTTCTCCGCACGAGGTATGACGTGCAGATGCAGCCGGACAGATACACCTACGCCGCGGCAGTTTCAGCTGCCTGGAAGCATGTGGATGCGTCAGCGTCACACGAGGAATTCAAGTGTCGGAGTCTCACGGTGGCTTATCTTTTCTGAAATCAAACATTTGGAAGGAGTTTAGCCACAGCTGGAAGTGGTGGGTGTGATCCAACTCCCTGGACATGGTCAAACACCCAATGTTTGAACAACCTCATGCGAGCCACAATCAACACCCAGGTAGATGAAGCTCAGTAAAGGAAGTCACATAGGCGCCTTCGCCGCCATTTCAATGATTTACCATGGGTGCTGGGTGCCGACAATTTTAGTACCCGGGCTTTGGATCATGACTCACGTGAGCCACAATCCGGTTAGTAAGGGACAATCCCAACCATAAATAGCTGCGGCCGCCTTCTTAATTCATTACATGGTTCTGGGTCGGCCATTTTACTACCGGGTGTTGATTGCGACTCACGTGTGTTTCCCGCATTTCTCGCTTCCGGCCAAAAAGCAAATTCTCTTCACTGCAGCCATGCTGGATCAAGCGCGGCCTTCCCGCGCGGGCGGTCGGCATGGTGAAGAAAGCGCTCTGCGTGGGGGTGAACTACCCCAACCAGGACACGGGTCTTGAGACACATGCCAGCAACAAAATGCCAGCAACAGGAGACTTTACATTTTGGGAGGGAAGGAAAGATGAAAGGCCGACCCTAAAATTGCTCGATAGGAAGCCTCAAAATGTCTGGCTTCCCCGTGGTTTCCTTTCGCAGCAACCGCAAAAGGGCATCCTGAAAAAAGACACGCTCAGTACATCTAAGGCAACGGAATTGCCCAGGAGCGCATCTCCAGCTTAGTGAGTGTGACACGTTCGCCAGGAATTCTCGGAACAAAGCAACCAAACCCAAAGTATATAAATCCTGTACATGTGGTAACCCCCAATCCGGGAGGATTGTGTGCAGGCGTCCTATATTTCTCTTTTCAGCCCGGTTCAACATCACCGTTTTGCCGCAGTTAGATGAGCTTTTTTCTTGGTGGGGTTCCGTTTAAGGGTTTCAGGGGGACATTTCGGTCGCCCTGTTTTGGTTGAGACTCATATTCCAGGCATCCCTTTCCTGGTGCTTTGGGTTTGGATTTGATGCCCTTCCAGAGGGAAAAGGGGTTTTCCCAAACCACCCAACCATCGGGCTCCAGAATAGCACGAGCTCTTTGTGGCTACTTGGTTGGATCTTTGGACAATGACACGTTTTGGTTGAAACGTCTTGGCGGGCATTGCATGTGGACCCTGAAACTGTGAACTGTTTGCTGAGGGGTCCTTGCAGCAACCACGAGAGATATATTGTACTATAATATATATACATATATCATACATAGTATATATATATATGTATATATGATATACATTATATATATACATATATACACACATCTTATATACACATTATATACATGATAGACAGGTTTGGGGCTGATTGATCTGGTGTTGCCATTGGCGAATAGGTTCGGCACGGGAACCCGGCTTGCCCGGCGGCTGATAGGATTACCAGCTCTACGGCTGTGCCTCTCGGCTTGGGAAGACGTCCGGGAAGGCGCCACACGCGAAACGCGACTGCGAAAAAAAGAAAAACAAAAAACTGGTCTTAGCTTTGCTGGGCCTGTTGGTTTCCGTTTTGTATCTTATTGTGTCTTTTTTCCGGGGTTGTCAGAGTCATGTGATCTTTCCCAAAAACCGAAGTGAACCACTGTGATGTTACATCAACGGAGCCATGTCGGCACTTGCAATTGCGCAGTTTTGGCACGTCACTCAGGTCAATGACTGCCTGGATTGGGAACGATTGTTGAAGGAGCACTTCGACTTCGAGGACAGGGCAGTTTCGGTACGGAGGGCAGAGCCGGCGAGCGCGAATGTGTCTTTAGATGCGAATAAATAATCATCGCCTTTTCGTTGGGACGGAATTGTCCTTTTGGGGGGCTCTAGAAATGCAAGGTTGGGAGCCTTTTGAAATATGTTTGACTTCAACCAGCCTGCGGGCTTTTAAGGACCCGAGGATTTTCAGCCAACAAGGTTTCGCGAATCGACCAGAGGAGATCCATGGGATTGTCGTTTCCCAAGCCAACTGACGGGTACCGAGTCCAGAAACAACCCCTGTGTCCGTGTGCGTGTGTGTGTGTGTGTTGTTTGGGCTTCCCTTCAGAGCTACAAACAAGAGGCACCCCCGAAAAAGACCCAAACATACACACACACATTCAGCTGAAACGAAGAGTGTCCCAGCTGAAGTAAAGAGTGTCCCAAGCTGAGCAGTTCATCTTCCACGAAAACTCTCCTCTAAATGGTTCTAAATGGCGGGTGTCCCACTCCCAGAAGCTTGATCAGCTTGAAGAAACCCTCAGTGGCACGAACGCTTGACATCAGCAAATAACACTGGCACAGACAAAGCAACATTTAGAACAAACCAAATGAGCAACAAGGATGACCACCCGGGCTTTCAGCTCCCCCTATAGCAGGTATCCCTTCGCAATTTTCCTTGAAGCGTTTAAGGGCTGGAACCCGGTTGGTAAGCTATGCAGGTAAATGGAACTGGGAAACAAGTCGTTTGCAATCCAAATGACATTGACAGTTGAGCGCTGGACTCAATCATTCAACTAGGGTTCCCTTAAGAAAACCATAGCCCCACCCGGCTAGTTTTTACACGCGGTTGGCTCAAATCTGGTGTTCTTCTCCAGGAAACGCATGGGGTGCCTGCTATTTCTGTCTGCGGGCCCCCTAAACAAGATTGACGAGCATCCATATGGAATCCCAAAACGGATTTGGTTTTCCTTTTGGTTTTCCTGAAAATGTCACAAACAAGGGATACCACTCGAAACAAAAGAACGAGAACATACCCATATGGTGTTGGCAGGCTTCTTTTCAGATCCATCCGTTTCTATAGTTGTTTTCAAAGGGAATCACCGAGAAACCAATCATCTTGAAGGCCTCCCAACAGTACCCTGTTTGGGGCCGGTCTAAACGGCAAGCAAGAGGGAAACAAACTCAGCACGTTGGGGGTCCGCCAAAGAATTGACACACTCAATTCGGTTCTTGCAAGGGACATGTTTTCCCCTTTTCCCCTTTTGGGTCCCCGTCCCCCCCCAAACAAAGAGAACAAGAAAAAAAAAAAACACCCAAAACCGGCGGCTTTTTTTCACCCAAGCAAACAAAAATGGAGACACGGCCAAAAACCGCCTCGTTTTGTTTTGGCCCAGGAGACCCGGGTGCTCATCGACCAGTACCCGGACGGTGCAGTGGCGGAGAGTCAGCAGCAGCTGCCCAGCCGCGGCAACATCCTGGCGCAGCTGGGGGGCTGGCTGGTGGCCGGGGAGCCTCGGCTCGCACCCGAGGGTGTTGCTTTGTTTGTCTTGAGGTGGCAGGTGGCTCAAACTGAAAGAGGTTTGAGTTGGCAAACCCGCAGGTGAAGGCCCTCAAGGCTTGGAAGGGGCCCAATTCTCAGATGAGTCACAATCAACACCGATTCGGGCAGATGAAGGTTAGTAAGGGGCAGTCCCAGCCAGAAGCAGTTGCGGATATCCGCCTTCTCAATTCTTTACATGGTTCTGGGTAGACCATTTTAATACTGGGTTTTGATTGTGACTCAGGTGGAGGGTAAAGGTTGCTGGGGCAAATCGCAGGTGTTTTAGCCTTTTGTTCCATGTCGGTGCCAAATGAGTAACGGCAACCACAAAGCAGTGGGAGGTGCTGGTGGCTGTGTCTTCCTCGTGTCCCGGATATGTTTCGCCTTAAACACATCCCTACAACTCCAGAGTTAGTTCAAGCATCACTTTTTCGGTGTGTTGCAAATTCAGGCGTTGCTCGTCGCTTTGGTTTGGACTGCAACAACAAGCCAGTTTGCTTAATTTCTTGGGGTCCAATCCACGGAAGCGATTTCACCGGGTTGGATGAAACATCACCTCGTGTTTTGCGGATTCATTTCGGAGCGTCTGGGATTTCCTGGCCGTGGGAACCGTCATCCGAGGCACAGCCGGGTGACGTGCTGGCCTTCGTCTTCGCCGGGCACGGGTGCCAGGCGAGGGATGGAGAGCTACAGCTACGTACCACATTTGCCAACGGCTTTTTCTCCATGTGGGTCAAAACCAATGGTACCATTTAGGGGTAGGTGCACCACCCATTTTAGTCTATTTTAGTGGGGATTGGGATGTTCACTGGGGGTACGGGATTTTGACCCATGGCCATGTGACCTACAAACAAAAACCCGGGCAAGTGGAGGGTAAGGGACAATCCGAGCCATAAATGGGTTCGGATATCTGGTGTTTCAAGTCTTTACTGTGTGTGTTTTTTTGGTAAACCATTTTACGGCCAGGTTTTGATTCTGACTCGCTTGGTCACTCAGGGGACTCACAAGTTTTCCCACGTGGCTCATTGGGGAAGCCAGGAAGAAAGGTTTCAACTTTCACCACGAAATGGGAAAAGTTACCCATGGTCAATTTGGAGCCAGGAACATTGAAGAACCCATGTCCTGAATCCCCTAGGTACGGTAGCCAAAAAGGAGTGGTTGGGACCCAGGTGCTGGTGTGTGTCTTTTTCGGGTTGGACCTCCCCCAGGAGCGGCGGGCTGGTTTCCATTGATTTCCAAAGCTCTCCTCTTACCAGCACTCGGGTCCCAAGAACTGCTTCTTGGGGACCACACTTTGGGTTTTGGTTACCTGGTGGCAAAAGCCGGCAACTTGGGCCCGGAAGGCAGTTGAATCATGGACTCACCATGGCGCGGGTTGCGCCCTCTCAAAACAGCCTCACCTCCCCCATTTTCTCAGGGGCTGGCCTGGTCCAACAGTTTTCCTTTTAAAGGTTTGAGGTTTGACATGTTTTTCTTCGCAGTGCAAAAAGGTTGGGTCCAAAATGGCTGCGTTTGGTCCAAAAGTCCGAAAATACACTACCGTACCAAGCAGATTTTTGGTGGGGTGGAAAAAGCCGTTTCAAGTTGGGACCCGGGAGGCACAGACCCTCCCAGCAACTAACATGGAGGAAAGTTGTCTTTCTACCGGGATCTGTG